GAGAGAGAGAGAGAGAGAGAGAGAGAGAGAGAGAGAGAGAGAGAGAGAGAGAGAGAGAGAGAGAGAGAGAGAGAGAGAGAGAGAATTATATTTATATGAATATAGACAGAGAGAGAGAGAGATAGACAGATAAATAGCGAGTAAGGTAGGGTAAAAAAACAATTTCAATTCATCGGAAAATAAATTCCGGAGTTTGAGAGTTGAGAGTGTTTTTCATCTGCATCCGGGAGATGGGCTTCTTCTGAATGTATAATATAAATATATATACACGACTTTTTCCGTTTAGGACTCGAACGTATTGTTTTTCATCTGGAGAATAAATACATCATTGTCACAGGCATAGTATTAAGCAAATTGGTATACGTATATAGTACTGAATGAAAAATATTTGACACTAATATGTCACAACTCGCAGAGGAAATAGGGTTGCGAGTTATAAACGTTGTTTCTCTAAAACGCGTAATGTCTTAAAAACATATTGACTGATTATAACAATTTGTCACGGGTAAAAAATATTTCACTTCCCTTTAATGTAAACTGTCAAGACTGTAATTCGTTTAAATAACGCGAAATGTCAAATTTGAAAGGAAAAATATATTTTTTCATAATTATATTCCTCGTTCCATTATTATTTTACGAAAATAAAAATAAAAGTCGAATAAAAAAACCGTTCTCATTAAAATTATAATAGCCCTTTCGCATATCAACGATCAAATGAACTACTCAATTATCAAACAATCGCTTTATTCGCTATAGTAAATAACAGGCAGTCTGTATTTAAACGATAATTTAGCTTTTGTAATAATGCAAGTACAGTTGAAAGTGAATTCGCTCAAAAATAAAGTGCGAAATCCTAAACAAAATTTTACGCATACAATTTAAAAATAAAAAACGTAAATTTAATTTGAAAAGTCTAGATTATTATTAAGCTTATGCTATATTTTCTAAGAAATACAAAGGTTCTGGTCGAATTTCTAATAATACGTATTCTACACGGTTTGAAATTAGATTTATAAGCTTCTTTTATGTTTTTTTTCAATTTAAGCAATCCAATAAAAATGGTTAAGATTGAGCAGTTTATGGTTAAAGTATTTTTCTATTACTTGCAACAAATTTAGTAAAAGCGATTTTAACTTACCGAAAACTATTTCCAGAACGTTTTAATAAGCAGCGTGGGCAGACGTTTAACTTCTCTACGTCCCAATTACTCGACACATGTCCACTGGAGTTTCCTGTGTAACATGTTGTATAGAAAAAAAATACAAAAATGTTATCAATTAAAAACATAGTAACATAGTGTTTTAGGTGAGTTTTACGTTTGGTATTACTGTGGTTTAGTTTGTTCTTCCCCGAAGTTACCCAAAACTTGTCCATTAATCAATACTATATTGATATCATTTGTATTTATTCGATAAATTTTTAATAAATTATAAATTGTATTAACATACGTTTATCTCAACAGAAAATAATAGGTATGAAGTTGTAATTTACTAAAAAAAAAAAAAAAAATAAAAGCTAATAAAAAATATTATATTTATTGATCCCTTAAGAAAGTGCATTGCGTCCTGACAATTCGAAAAATATTAATAATAAAAATAGTATAAATACAAAAATAAATTTGATCTTAGGCATAAAATCTACATAATACAGTAAATGGCTTCTCAAAAAAAGGTGACAACTTTTATGATAAACTTTATTCCAGAACGGTCTCGTGTAACGATATAATTTTTTACATCGTGTATTGTTGACGACGAGCAAACACATGCGAGTGATATATTTTATATTACTGTAAATTTGTATTCACGGCGCTTATACGGGACGATAAACTTCGACTACAATATTATGATTGTACACGTGTAATACGACTGTCATACCTTTTGTTCGAATCGTATGAAACATGTGTACATTTTTACATTGAAATCGAATTTCTCGCATATACAAATGAGAAACGAATTTTTCAACACGGACTATTTATACCGGTGCATCTATCTGACGGTGTTATTGAATTCCGACACATGGTCTTAGAGCAAATATGTGACTTGTACAGTTAAATTAGTATTCTTGTAACACAAACGGCGTGTATAAACTTAATATTATATATATATATTTATATAGAACATGATTGGACACTCACCCTGCCACCGTTCTCCGGGTCGTGTCTGTTGTTCTTGTACTTGCCCACGGTTTTCACGGCGTCCGGTAACTGAAACTGGAAACGAGGAAAAATATCGTTAATAATTTTTCAGAAGAATATCCCACCGTAGGGGTGGGGGGAGGAAAGGCGAGCCGACGGAGAGAGCTAGGCGTAAGAAGAACAGGAAGGGCGAGCGCGCGTACACCACCTGGTGACGGTTGGGGCGGTAGAGATAACAAGCGACGGATCGGAGCGGAAGAGTTGCCTTCCATCTTCGTTGAATTAATTGGAAAACTTGCTAAGTGGTTTTGTTGGTCCGGGCTAATAGTTTTACACGTTTCGGACACCCCGGCTGACAGCGGGACGATTACTAGCCGTTGCAGCTAGCGTTTGATTGGAATGAGCAGATTATCGCGTAGTTGTTACCGTCGGGACACGTGTGCGTGTAAGGTACACGTTGAATCGTATTTAATCGCTTATACAATATTCTATAGATGTTTCGATATTATTATTACTATTGTTATACGTGCAGTATTATTGCTGCTCATTATTATAACGCCCGTGGTGGATAACGCGGGTTTCGAGAGAAGTGTCCGGTACGCGCGCGTCCAACCTTGTTTTACGGTAAATTGTAACGCGTTTATTTTCTAGTAAATATATTATAATAATATTATTACTATTATTATTATTATTATTATTATACCACGGTACGACCGAAACGCGGTACAAGTCTGTGTACCTATATATTTTAATAAAGATATATAATCATATTACGCCACCGCTCGCGCGTAAGACCAGCGAAGGGTCGGATGACGTGGACGGGGCACGAATCCGACACGGAGTTTATGTCAAAGGCCCTTGTTGCACGTCTCTCGTCACCGTCTACATGTATATACTACTCATTCCTTATGCAAACTTTTGAGCGTGAAAAACCGATTTTTCAGACAAACACACACACACAAATATCCCTTATAACGGTATTGTACAGAACCGGAGGCTGTAAAAATACCAGTTTAACGCTCGGGGGCACGCAGCACCGTGTTGCGACGTTAATTTTTCTAATACTTCGGCGGCGGCGGTAGTGCGAGGTAAATGAATTGGTTTTGGAGCGAGGTGAACAAGAGGTTGAACAAATGCGTCATGTACAAAAAGATGAACATTGACCCGTTCATTTTTCAATTTTGAATTACATAAGTTTATCATTCGTTTTGTAGCCAACGTTTAAGCACTTGTTAGTTGATTTACTTTTCAGGCAGTTTAAATAATAATTTATGACTTGAGATACACTTAGAGTTAGTTGAAAAAAATTCACCATTACATTTTTTTTTACGATGTCATAATACAAGACGTAAATATAACTACTACTAAAATGGACACCAATAATATAATAAATATTAAAATAAACAAAAATGGTTAATTATCACTTGAGAACGCAATCTTTTTAGAAGGGATTTATTAGAAATTAAATTAACATTTTTAAAACTAAATTCGTCTAATATTTTTCTCGGCATCAACGTTGACCTCGTACATTTTAATATATTATTTCCAACGATCAGCCTATAATTTAAAGTTCGTACGTTATCTTAACCAAATTAACTCAAGTTAATCATTTTCATTAACTTACCCGCCTTATAAAACATACAACGTGTACTGTGTACGCATAAGCCTATGTGTGTGCGTGTGCCCCATGTGAACACCGACGCATGATTGATGTATTTGTTTTTCCTTATAAAACACCCGAAGGAACTGTGTTCATATCTAAAGAGTCGGTTTAATATCTAAAGATGCGCGTTTCAGAAATTTTCCGCTCGTACTACGAGTATAATAAACTACACGGTCTGATACTCGCGTATTAAGGGCGTGTGATTGTTTTTTCTTCCCAAGCCTGGCGGTCTTAAAATCTCCATAAGTGTACACTTGCAAACAAGAAACAATGTGCATCTGAGTATACATCACAGCGCGTAGAACCAACACACGAAACGTCGTCTTACCAAACACCGCACTATAATACGCACATGTATTAATCGTATCGTTTCAATGTAGTTGTTTTCACGGTAAACTCGGTTTACGGTTTCGCACAAAGTCGCTTCCTTTGTTATAGACAAATAATCGAAAATAATGTTTATCGTTCGAATAAAATTATGATAACTCATAGAATATTTGAAGTATAAAAATCAGCAAGATGTTTTTTTTTTTTTTTTCTAATTATTGCATATAAACTAGTACAGTTCACGAATTCGTTTATACTAAGTGTTGGTCTAGGCTTAAAACATTTAAAATATAGTACGGCCGTTCACGGTATCTACAACAATTGTATATTTTAATACGTCTCTTTCCTGATGTCTATTTCGATAATGTTTGGTAAACAAATAGTAGTAAAAACATCGGAAACAACTGAAATACATGACTAGTTAATTACTTATTAATACTATTAAGTATTAGAATACTCGATATAATATTTACTATATATAAATAATTATATTTATCGTCGGATACTCTTTCACTTAAAATTTAATTTGCGCTTAATGTATATTACATTGACTGAAAACACAGGACCCGTAACCTTGTAAAATATCTCAAATTTTATTTTATATAAATGTTATCAATATTTAAAAATTGTTTTTAACCGTAGTTATGTAAACTGTTTTTATGGTATGTGTTGATAAAGTGCGATGTTATTACATTAACTAAAATACAACTAAACTTAATGGTAGAACACATATAAGTTTCGAAATATTATATTTCACGTATTTCTTAGGTGTTTGTAAACGTGTAAAAATCATAAGTGCAATTCAATAATGACAAACGATCACTGAGACATTTTATAAACGTCTGTATTTTATATTTATTGAGTAATGAAATATTAGTTTTTTCTTCTTTTAAAGTCTCAATATAATATATCCGTATATCAGAGAAAAAAAAATTGTCAACGAAATTGGATTTTGATCTTATATTGATGACCGATAAGCCATAGTCTCGGTGGATTGTGAAGGTTTTTTTGAAGGCAGCCATATTGCTAAGCCCAAAGGAATTTACTTAGACCTCTTACTCCTTCAACTTATTCTGTTTACAAAAAAATGATTGAACTAACCAGATCACTAGCTGGTTAAAAACTCTCCAAATACAGTTCAATTAAAACTAATGAAATTCTACGCGTATTAAATGGTAGTTTTTATTTTAACACATTTCTAGTTAGTTTCAATGACAAAATTCTTCATAAATTGACCAAACATTAATTGAATGAACAATATTGGGTTTGCAAATATTCTATGAGAAAAATAAAAGTTTATCCTTTGATATATTTGTATTAAAAACTATAAAACCTAAAAACCGTTAAGCCAATTAATATATTCGTGTTAATTATTTTTAAACAAACAAAAATCGCAGACTGAGAAATACTCGGACTCATAATAAAGTTGAGGGGCAAAAAGCGACGTCTTTCCTTTTAACGTTTTTTTATTATATTAAGTGCAATAAACCACAGGTGATGTTTATAATATGTATATCTTTCTTTACCATAAAATAAACTTTGTGCTGCCATTCATGTTATTTTATTTGATTAAATACCTACTAAAAGGTGAACATTATTTTTGATATCAGCAACAATTTATTTCTGTTTGACTAAAATTATAAATATATAAATAATATAAAAGTATAATACTATATAGGTGAGACGAATTATTTAAAAGTTTCAAGTGAAAATTAATTTTAGTTTTCGATTGAGAATTAAAATAAATATTGTTATGCTTTTATTGTAATACACGAATATTCAGTTCAATATTGTATACATTTTTCACTTTTTGAACAAAAGAGCAACTTGAAGTACCTACTTACAATTTGACATCAATCAGAGCATATAATATTGAATTTTGAATCGAATAGTGTCATCATTCAGCTCAAAATTTATCTAATATTCAATCGTACATATTTAAATATTTATATTTGAAATTGCAATTTAATTAACTATTATAAAACGGTAAATATTATAACAATAATATCCTGCATAGCATTTGTCAATCATAACAATATTTATATATGATTGGGATTTAAATATTTAAAATAAAAACTTTGTACAAAATTTAACATAAGTATTTGATTTTTCATGTCGAAATTGAAATATATAATAAACATTTATTAAGATTCGAAAACAAATATTTAAAAATCATTGAAAATTCAATCCTAAAAACGTTTTAAACTAAGTTCAATGTTTAAAAATGTACAACCGTGCGTTTGGATATTCAACGTTTATAAAAATGTGATCAACATTTTTAAAACGTTTCAATTTTTTTTTGAATATTAAATATTGAATAAATACATATATGCTGTGTGTGATGTTACACGTTAAGCCACGCATTCCACCACGAACCGGCAGCGACAAAATTGTGACTGTGTATTGACTTTCGGTACTTTTGGAAGATACCTACTATAAGTTCTCCACACAGTGCATATATATTTATTCAGCATTTAATTATTATTTAAAAACAATTTAAAATATTTGATAAATGATCGGTAACCATTGGTTAAACTTTTTCAAACATTGAATTAAAACGTATTAGATATTTATACAATTTTAAATTTTTATTAATTTTTTTTTTTTTTTTTTGTAACGTTAATAAATTCTTATCACATGTTTTAGGTTCAACATGAAAATTCAAATGTTTATAAATATATTTATGTTCGATTTTGCATAAAATTTTTTATTTTTAAATATTTAAATTCCAATCATGTACAAATATTATTTCAGTTCGTAGTGATTGACAAATGCTATGTGGGTCGGTATACGGGTTCGTTGTCGCTATCGTTTCGCGTTAGGTTCGGCTCGCGCACACATTATTTATTGTTAACCGTTCGGTTTCGATAACATTCCGAACAAGGATATTACGATGTTTATAACGAATATAACATGAAAATAAGACGACGACATTCATTATGAACACGTACGTGTACATAATTTGATTTGAAAAATATTTTCAACCCTATCTACAGCGTATGATGGTCTCATACACTCTTAAGTGTTCAGACGTGAACGATATTTGTTGTACGATAAAACGACTAAACCGAATGTGAGAAATGTATACGTTCGACTGGTTCGACATCAAAATATAGTTGTTGTCACAAAAACGTATGTTGTAAAAAATATGAGGGGTATTATACGTGCACTGTTATAATGATATGTATTGATATACCTACACTATATGGTCTGCCGATATTGAACGCCAGCACAAGCGATACGATTCGATTGGACAAATTTTGGTACAAAACAGGAAACATTCGTGAAACATCATTCAATCGTTTCTCTTTAAACGGTACTGTTTCAGCGAATACACAAGTTTTTATTTTTTTACTTGAAAATAAGATATTCCCGGCCTGCTTATTTAGGGATATTACGGAACAATAAGTCTCGTAAATGTTTTAACAAGATGATTATTAATGTGTATACACTAACAGGTGTGTATGCAAACGATTTATCATAATACATATACATATTAAAACACATCAGTGAATTTAAGAAGGCTTTTGCAACAACTGTAACAGCAATCCTGGCCTCCTTTAGATTTCCTATAATACTACGGTTTTATCACCGAGACGGTCGTTAGAATAATTTCTCATAGCAAGTTTTCTATTTATTGCGGACGCAGTAAACAAAAATATTCATTGAAGTCGATTTGTTTGTTCGAGACTTTTCTGTGGACAATCCAACACGCTTCACTTTGTAAGTTAAACCATCGAAACGTATAAAATAACAGCAAAGTTTCCCCCTTTCCTTCAAAAAAAAAAAAAAAATCCTTTCGATTTAACTTGTCTCTTCGAACCCACGTCTCCTACTCGTATATTCCCGTACAACAAATAAAGTGTCACTTGAATTATTAATCGAGATTAAGACTAGTAGTGGAATATTATTTGGATATCTTGCACTCCACTCTCTTCCCGCCACGGCTGTAATATTACTAGGATAAAATATCGCTACGGGGCCGAGCGTGACATTTTATTTTTATTGGTCACCATCACATATTTTTGTCGACAAATATACCGCATTCAGTTAGATGCACCGTTTCCGGGCTGCAGGTTATTAGTAGGTAGTACCCGACTGTATTAATGTCTCGTTTCTGGTACACGTAAGCAAAACATATTTTAATTTACACATGCGCAATTAAAGGGGTTAGAATTATTAGACATTTATTAAGTAATGTTATGATGCAGGCAGTTCGCTTTTCATGCAAATGGCACATTATACATAATCCACTGCGTGTCATTAGCGCTCGTGCGCGTATTTTATTTCTATCGTTAAATCTTGGTAACCGGACTAAGTAAGTGGTGAGGTGGTTTATTTTACATTTACTACCTCAAAACTGAAACTACTCTCTGACATATTTTACAAGCGATTATTCATTCAGTCATACAGATTTCAATTATCGTTTAAAGTGTTCCGTAGGTTTTGACATAGAAAAAAATTCAGATAAGTTTTCAATTTGGTTTTGATATATAGGTATAGCAAAAAAACCAACCGCCGGCTAATTGATCATACAGCGTAAATAATTAATCGGTCATTGAAGGTCTGATATTCCTTCAACGATCACGTGTCTGTAAATTATATTTGTTACATTAAAATCGATACTGTCAAGTGAAAAACGTTTTAATTTGAAGTTATTATAGTAGTTTAGGTTATTGATTATGTTTGAAAAAATAACATTTATTTTTAACAGTAATGCGAAATAGATGATTGAAACTCATTTGAAAAGTTTAGATAGTATTTTGTTAAACACTAAGTAAAGTTATCTAATACTGCCCTTCAGTCAATAAATTAAATTTTAACCATGCGATAATTAAGTTTAGTTTAGTCTTGTTTATGAAATGTTTTATAAAATCTATACAAAGCACTGTAGTGCTCAAAACTATAAGCTTTTTGAAAATGGCAAATATATCACTTATTAATCAACTATATTTACCCTTTTATTTTTTTACTATACAATATGCACACCAAAACAATTTTTTATGTATGAGAGAAAGCATAATGATTAAATACAAGTCCATTTTGTAGTGTTTTTACTTATATATTTTCACAGACCTATCGAAAATAAAAACTCTGAGGATTAAATTTATATATATGTATGTATAATATCATAATTTTAAGCCAGCAAAATGTCGAATATATTTATATATATATATTCAATATCAGTGACAATTGTAAAGCCAAACACGACAGCGAGAATATTTTTGAATTAAAGGGTCAACTGGGAGCTATAATCCTTACGGTATAGTCGATTTTAATTAATTCAATATATAAGTCACAATCTGCAAAACCATTTAAAGATAAATACATTTTTTTTAAAAAAAAGAGGAAATGGATAATTGAACGTAAAATATATTGAATATAATATGCACGTTCAACTTAATCTTAAAAACCATGAGGTGATGAGATAAAATAATTACCTTTAGATGACAGTAAAAATTAAATTTTATAAAAAAAACTTTTAAATATTATACTTATTGAATATTATAATATTGAAACACAATATGAATTTAAACATTTGACAGTTCATGTTAACGTTATTATTTTCTAATGCAACGTAAAACGATTATGAGATATTATAAAAAACAATTAAAGAGAATGTAACAACTAAAGCATAATTTACACATGCCAAATATGTAAACATAAACGTATAATTGATAACGATTTTAAAATACTAATTGCATATATTTGTAGTAAATAGTTCATAACTGAATTTTCATACATAATGAAGTTAGTATTTTGTGAATGTAATATATTAACAGATTATATTTGTTTGTAATTATGTGTTAAATATTTTATTTAAATGCAAAAATATTGTTTCAGATATTTATTTTTAAATTTTGATCATACCATAACATACGACACTCGATGTCAAACAATTATTTCAAGTTTTCGATAAGTGCGCAATTATAATCAGTATACTATGAATAATTTCATAAATTAGTAAAAATAATATATTTACTTTTGAGTTGGCTTGATCCGAATGTGTCCGATAGCAGAACTGGAATAATGCCACGGCGATGGCAACGATGAGTCCCAGCACTAGTATGTAGAATATACCAGCAATGTTGTTCAACGTCAACTCGGAATTACGGAAAGACTCCTGCGGGAATAAAGGTAATGTGTGGTATGTATAACAAGTTGGCAAATTTTGATATTTTAATAAAAATTCAGTGATATTTTGTGTTTTATGGTGTATATGAAGGACGATGGAGAAAAGTTTACTGTCGTATTCTTGCAGTAAGCGCAATATAAAAAGAACATAAATTGCTACTATAACACATTTTTTCTCTTCTTTTTTTCGTTTGCGGGTATGCGAGTAATGTAAAACTGCGAACAAGCAAATGGACCGAAAGTAAAGTTTTAAAAATTCAACTACCGTTTTTGTTCAAAACGGTATTTAAGTGGCCAAACCCTCGATGTACTTTTCTTTTACAAAAATAAATAACTTTCAGATTGTTTTATTTATGTATTTTTTTCTTCTCTGCCAAAATCGAGGTTTCTAGTATTACGTTACTAAATAAACATATATACCTATATATATATATATATTTATAAATTATTTACATTTATATGTTGAATTGAACGCTTTGGTGTGTTTAGGAAACATTTAGCATGAGGTAAGGTTTAAGTAAGTTCACAGTTTACCATAATTTTGAAATATACTCAGATATACTAGATTTTCTTTTTTCTAACCTAACATGTATATATATCTATATAAATAAAATAAGACAGTTGAAAAATGAATGGCCGACGATACGACCCGTAATTATAGAAGAGAGTTTTATGGTGGCTGGGGGAATGTAAAGAGGAAAGAAATAAGCATACAAAGAAAATAATTTAGATCGCCTAAGACATATGTCAATAGCTTTTTAAAAGGAATAAGTGATCTGATGAATATATTGATACATTTCAAATAATGAAGCATATTTAAATTAAAAATAAAACTGCAAACCATAATCGTCGAAATATATTTTCGAAGGATTGATTTGATCTTATTTTACTTACCTTCGCTTCATACCCGCATTCATCAATCCACCATTTATTTTCTAACTTCGCAAGTTCACCGCTATCGGTCAACTGTGATATGGCGGTGTTGATTCGATTCCTTAAAAAGAAAAAAAGAAGAAAAACACGATTAAAATGAGTATTGACATCAATGACTAAACGAAAGAAAAATGAAAAATATCTGTAAACATAAAAACACAAACTTAAAAATCGAATTCCCTATCATTATATTATTTGGGAAAATGTATGTCTTCATGCATATATTATAATTTTAAGTAAACCAGCTATAGAAGCAATAAAATTATAGTGCATCGCCTGTAAATCAAAGAAATGTTTTATTTTAGATTTACGTATTCCTCGTTAGGATTTCTAGAATCCTGTTTTTAGAAACCAATATTAGTACAACATACTAGTTACTAAATTGAAAATCATCCATGGATTGATGTATTTATAACAATAATTGTATTTTTAGTTTACGGAATGCCTTTAAATTAACAAGCGCACGAAAGAAAAATAAATGCAATAGGTGTTGTGTTCGAATAGACCCGCGAGGATACCGTTTGAGCGTGGATAAAATTAACGAAAGGACGACCATACGAGTATAGATCAAACTGCAGGGCAACGTCATTCCCCACTACAGGTTCTTCCCCAACTCCAATTTTTTGGCTCTAGAGCATTTTTTGATTGCCCTCAGGGATCCTCTTGAAACCCTTATAAATCGCTTATTGGGTTCGATCGGAGGTAGAGTAATGTTGAATAAGAATATTGTTTATATATAAAACCATTAAAACAAAACACATGGAAAATATTATTACTTACTAAAAATAACAAACTATTTTGAAAATAAAAAATTATAATTTCAAATTATATTTTCCAAGTTAGGGTATGTATATAATATCGAAGCACTTAAGTTATAATATTTATATTTTATGGTATAAAACGTTAGATTACATAAAACAACAATTTGTGGTAAAATGAATTAAAATATTACAATAAAATTCACGCATAAAACGTATAGAAAGATATGTCATAAATAATTTAAATATATGTTACAGCTCATAGTAGTAAAATCAATAATATCGTCATTGTTTTTTCTCAGAATTATTATTAAATAACGTGTACATAATAACAATGAATATGGTTTCACAAAATATCTATAAAAAACTTCGGTCTGCAGTATATACCATTTTTGCGTTCTTATTCTGCCATCTTATAATTTTCTAATGATATTTTTATTTCCAATAATATATTATATCTTTGATTTACTGCATTATTAATAATTATACTATATTTTTTATATTGTATAATAAATATAATATTTCTATAATAGTAAGACAGAGTTATAATTTCTCTCAAATACCTAAAACAATTTTTTAAAAAAAAAAAAAAAAAAATTGCATAATATTAAAATATTGACACAATGTACAATGCTGAACAATTTATGAACAGAGAATTCGGAAAAAGATATATTTTATAATAAATAAATTAATATAGTTTTAATTTTTAATTATTTTAAATCATACAACTCAATTATAATATAAGAAATAAATAAACATGCTTAAGAGTTTTAAGACATTTCCTTAAGGAAAAAAATAATATACATTGCAATATATTATTTTATTTTAAAATATCAAAAAATGTACAATTTTTTATAATTATCGTGATAGCCTATAATTTTATAAATGTAAACTAACTATGGGAACAGTTACAGTTTAAAACAAAATCAGATTACTAAAACAGTTTATATACATTTATAATGAAATCAATATTGTGTGTAATAAAATGTAATACATTTAATACAAATCTTAATACATACTTTACAACAACCTAATGGAAATTCCGATAAGATATTTAAATAAAATTATCAATTAATAAATATTTCTATTTAAAGTTATTGGTATAATACTATACATTTTGTGTAGATCATATTACTTGGAATTTGTTGTCTAGCAATATAGTATTCAAACAATTACAAAGTACATTACACCACAAATGCATGTTGATAAAGTTATAACGATACTGCAGTTATAATTAATATAATTACTTATAATTTGAAAAAAAAAATGATGTAAATAAATTAACTTGATATTATAAATAATAATAACAAAAATTCAAGTATAAAAAAATCTTCGATAGTAAAATATCTATTCGACTTATAGTTTTTTTTCAAACGAAATATTTATTTTTTCTTTACATTATATTATATGTACTTAGTAACCTGTATCATTAAGAATATTTTTAAATTAAAATAAACCTACACCTCCACAAGAGTTCTTCTCAGTGGGCCAAGTTATATTTTTGATATCAATATAAAATAAAAAATACATATATTTAAATATTATCTCATACAATACATTAAATTTGATGATGCAAAAATGTGTTGTGAATTTTTTATTATGAAAAATATTGTCATCAAGACACCAAAAGATTATAATAAATGTATGATGTTGTTAAATATATTTATATATAAATATAAAAAACTTATTTTGATAAATTTAGAATCTAAAGTATTCAAATTTTCAAACATAATAAAGTGCATACGTATCTCATTATATTATAGAAATTTATAAAAAGTATATTTGTTTGAAATTTGTAAAATTAAAAAAATAGAGATAGAAGATTATCATAGAATTCATTTTAACTAAAAAATATTAGTATTTAGTTCTATCCAATACGTTCTATGAACTAATTTGAGTGCTTATTGATTCAGTATACATCACATATTTGAATATATTTATTTTTAACTTCTTTTTTTTTCTGTATATTTATTTTAATACTGAATATACAACTCAAAATTATCAACGAAGGTATTCATTTTCACTTGAGATTGAAAATCTTAAGAAAGTATTAGTGATTCAATGCAATAACTTAGCAGGTATTATTAATGTTCATGTATTTGTTTCGTAATTTCAAAAATATTGATAAATATTTTTATTTATATTATTAGCTCATTAAGATGTCAAAATGCCAACCAGTTATATATTTTTTCAGCTATAAATAGTATTTGTGTATAATATTAATTTATTAACAATATCAGATGTATTTTTTTGAAAATTCAGAATACTTCTTCTTCATATTTATTAATTTTCTTTGTATATTTAACATTTATAATGCATATTTTGCCTTTTCTATCTCTTACGATTTCCGAACCATGATTATTATAATAAAGTGAACCACCTTTACACTTTTTATTATATCACATACATATTTTCAGTTTACCATCACAGTACTTAATAAACTGTACTATATTTTTTCTATCACGAACAAATATTTTTTAAATGTTAATTTTTTTTTCACGACCTACACATTAAATCCAAATTTAAGCTTCAATACTGTTTAAACAACAAACTATGAATAACCACGAAAACGTGAAATATTCATAAAAACTGATAATAAATATAAAACAAAATATATAAATGATAAAATATAGGTATTTATACACAATGGTTTTATAATTATTCAATATATTGACTATAGTTTATCTAAACTAATTAATTAATCTTGTCCTCATTAATTTAGGAACATAGAAATATTATTTAATAATACATTTTCACGATTTACGTGTTGATATGGTTCCACAATATTGATATTTTGAGATATATAATGCCAAAATATTCATAGGTAGCCAAAAAAGTGTCCAATTTCTGGGTACTTAAAGATTAATTTATATGTTGTGAAGAATAAATCGAACCCATTCTCATAAGGTACGATCGCTTTAAAATTTAAAAACTAACAAAATTCAAATTTTCTTTAAAATATAGTTTTAAAAATATGATTAAAAATATAAAATTAAAACATTTGTAATGATCTAAAACCAATGTGTTTTATTAAATAATGTAATTTATAGTTTCATACAATAAATGGACGGAATTCGTTATTGGTAAAATAATAAAATTAACTTAATACGTAAAAAAAACATTCATAACACTATATCAGTTGCATCAGACATATAACTGTAATAAATTAACGTACAGTAAATGTATAAGTGGCAATCAGGGACTAAAACCGAATCGTACAGAACTCGGTTTGAAAAAGATATATATATTTTTTTTAAAAGGGTTTTTCGGTATTTTAATTGCACATTTGAAAATAATATATATATATATTAATAATAATTTTTATATTAAAACTTATTATTTTAATATTTAATATTTTGGTTTTTTGTGGTAAAATAAATCATGAATGTCCAAATTAAAATGAAAATAAAAAATAATATAAAAAAAAATAAAAAAGAAAAAAAGACACAAGTATTACTAATGTACTAAGAATTACCTACAACACGAATACCAGTAATACTTACCAATTATATTATGTTATAATAAATATCATGTGTTTTTTTTTAATTCCCTTAAAGACCACAACGATACTAGATACAAGACACTAATGATATTTTATTGAACCATTCCACAAAATTATAAATATAAATAATGTTTAATGTAATATTACTGTTGGCTTTGACTGATTGACTGTCTTTTGTAAATGTAAATTTGGATCATTACTTTTGACAACTTTAGTTACTTTACGCCCAATAAAACCAATTTTATTGGACAATATACGTATCAAAAGGCATTAATCGATTCAACTAATGCACTTTTGTATTTGATAACCAACTTGATTCCTGAATACTTATTTACTTATACTTTTATTATAGAACAAAAGTATATATATATAAATAAAAGTTCGTATGATTTTGTGTTTTTATAATAAAATAAAATTGGAACCGCTTAAAACCGTATTCAACCAAAACCTGAACTGAAACATTAATCTTAAATATTCAAATACCGGAACCCACACCAAAATTAATATATATACATATATTTAAGAACCGTAACTATTAAAATCGTAATGGGTCCAGGACTTGTAAACGATGATTGAGATGAATATATAAAAATTTTTACTTTAATTGCAATACAAATAAAAATTGATATACCTTTAATATTTTAATTTTTTGTTTTGTTTTATCAAATAAGCATTTTATTGTTTTAATTTATTTTCAAATTATATGAATTAAATATATTCATGTAATTGGGCTCAAATTCGTATCTTATTTCAATAAATAAATAAATATTTTATTTATTTCACACTAATTTAGTTTAGGTAGTCCCGTATTCGTTAATTAATTGGGTTTTTGTAATATTGACTTATAGAATATTCTATTAGTAATTGCACACCAGTTACAGTTCGTATCCCGATAGTTACGAAAAGATTTCCATAACAAACTCGCAAGCTTTTAATGATAATGTACTGATATTTTCATAAATTTTTTTTATTATTCACTGATATTTTCAAAAACAATAAATAGTATTTAATATTAATGAATACTCAAGTAAAAAGGTATTCTAGATAAATTATCATTAAAATTAATTTTGATGAACCTAAAATCTAATCAAAATTGTCGAAGAAACATCGAACTTTGAATTATTATAAATAAACTTGAATATAAAAATAAAATGCTAGGCTGTAAATTAAAAACATTAAAATCACCTACACGTAGAGCAATAATTCGTGCCTTGTGCACGATTAAAGATTTATTAGACAATTTAATATACACTTTAATTTGTGTTTTACATATCGCGCTATCTCTTTTCGATTTATAAATTATTATAATCCAAAATGTATTTCTTTCCATTCGATTCAACTCTCGGCTTGTGAAATAAACCAAACGGATATATATTAAACTTCACCTTATGAATAGTTAAATTTCGGTTAAAACACATTTTAAAAGAAAAATCGTTTTACACATACACCTATGATCACTGTGTAACGTGTTTACCCGTATAATTTTTAAAATTAATGCCTTTAACTGTTTCATCAGTGAATACTCGCGGTTTGATTAATTTAAAAATCAAATGCCCAAACGTACGGCACGCATTTGAGAGATAAAAACAAATTGTACGTCGTTCGATCACCGTTTATATGATTGATTTCTCAAACAGGTAGACGATAAAATATATGTATACCTTCAAAAACCGGCGAAACACTATTATAGTATAAAATAAATATACAATAAATATGGAACTAGTACATTTTCCCGACAGTCTCAAATTATATTATAAATAAATATATGTCAAAAATTAGTCAAAATTTTAATAAAAGTACATTTTCACATAGAAGGATATTATCCATGATAAAATATTCGCGTGATTTAGTTTTTTTTTTTTTAACTATATATTAATAAAATATAATAATAATAAAATATTGTATATAAGTATTACGTACAGTAAAAATATGTAAAATATATCGTCGGGCCCCGGGCAAACGAAATTTCGGGCAAACATATCAGGCCCAATAAATATATATAAGAGCGCAGCATCTACAACGCGTAAAAACCATCAGTGGCGTACATTCAATCTTGCTCTGGAGGGGGGGGGGGAGGTTAACAAAAATAATCGTTCTTTTTTTTCTCGTTGCACAGATAAATAAGATAAATAACTGCTATAAATAGATATTATTTTATACAAATTTTTTACCAATTTACAGTATACTTTTACAATGCAGTAAATGAATAGCTATTTGAACATAAAAACCGCATGGTTAACAAAACTTTTCAAACACCTACCAATATAATTATTTAACTATCATAATATGCGTATAGTTGTATATTTTAAGTTCAAAGCGAAACAATGAAACTACGAACATATTACACGTCATCAATAATAAAACAATTTTCTTTTTCTTTTTTTTTTTTTTATTGGACCTGGGGGGGGTTGAACCCGAACCCCCCCACTCCGTATGTACGCCACTGAAAACCGTAGAGTACCGCGTTCGGTTTCGGTGCTCCCCACATCGCTGGGAGATCGGTCCGCGTTTCGATTTCATTTGTTACGGGCGCTGGTATCGTGCAACGTGCGACCGACGTTCCGCCATTGTCGCGGCACTGCCTTACATTCGCCGACCGAGGTGTTCGTAAATCCTATTAGACACGTGTCGTACGGCGTTTAACGCGCTGGCACCGTGCGCACACGCGGGATAAGATTTACAACACTCCGGGCGTTCCTACTGGTTTACTTTAAGTGCGTAATATATTCCGGTATGAAAATATCGCCAGAAGACTAACAGCCGCGCGTTCCGAAAGCGGCGTCGGTTAACCAGTGGTTTTCGCAAATCTTATTGCAAAATATATGTATGTTTGTGTTATATATATATATTTTATGATCAAAAATGTGTCGCAGAAAATTGGGTTTTCTTTCTTTTCTTTTTTTTTTTTTTCATATCAAACTCTCGTCTTGGAAAATGTGATTTCGCGGAATGTAATCCGAGGGAGTCATTCAACTGAAAGACGCGCGTAATATTCCTCCCCGCGTTCCTTTCGTCCGCGCTTCTTATATCCCGTCGGTGATCTTATTTCCCAAAAGTCCCAAACGAGATTTGTCAATATCATATATATATATATGTGTGTGTATGTATGAGAAAAAAAAAAAAGAAAAGAAATAGTCTCACCTCAGCGGGGACCCGAGTGGCATCGCTATCCCATAGTTCTTGACGTCTAAGTTACGTCCGACTTTAATTGTATCACAAGGTTTCCTCATATTTACGAAGTCGTTTTTTGGTGACTCGATAAGCAAAGCGAACTTTCCGTTGGAATTTCTCACTCTCTGGATTCCTTCGTCGTATGTGTCCACAAACACGTGCGTCCGTGAATTCATGAACTGCCACATTTTACTGTATAAAGAACTATGCGATCTCTACAACAATAAAAATACACGGAAGAATTAGCATTGATTCGTAAGATTACAATTGAGATTAAAGATTTAATAATAAATGCTAAACATTGTATTTATAATCTTAAAATATTGTATTTTATGTTTATATATTAAAAATTAGAAATAATATTACAAAGAAAAGCATATTTAAAAGCAGTCACATGTTATAATAATTATATTATTTGTGTATCCGAGAACGGAAAAATAATGTATAATATACATTTTTAACATCATACAATTACCAAACAAATATGCACTGTACACACAAAAATAACGATAATTTATAATCGATTTAATATTTTCTTTTGTAACCGTTTGGATATACAAAAACCTTCATGCGCATCGAAATTAAAAGATCATAATTGGGACCATTAAACAAAAACGTCAAAATTGTATTTTACTAATTTTTTTTTTTTTTTTTGAACATGTCTATGAAAATTAGGGGAAATCGTTTCCAAATAATTCGATGAAAAAAATATCGATTATTTTCCCCTGCTGTTTCTATTACCCGTCTTTAAGGTTTTTTTTCCCTCTTAGATTGAGCAAAAAGCGCTTAAGAAACAACTTTGGTGAATAGCTCGAAACCAAAAGTTTTCTTTCAAAAAAATTCGTAGCTAAGGTTTACAGACGATTGAAATGAAAAAAACTGAACTCGTTATGGGAAAAGTCTATATTAGTGCAACGCCTTATCCCTACGTATACGCGGTTACCTATGGTGTTTATTTTTTCCCCTCTTTCCGTGTAGTCCACAAAAAAATTATTGAAGGATGTGGGGAGGGAGAAATGTATTACATTTGCATCCCGCAGAAAAAGCACAGCACAAAATGAATTCGGTGAATATTTTATTTCCATAGTTCCGGTGACTTGAATTTAATGGTGTTGACGTTTGCAGACATCGCTGGATAAACAACTTATTAAAGAGGCAATCAAGTATTGAGAATAATTTTAAATGTCGACGATAAATTCACGGTCAGGCGTAAGGTTTTTGAATAAGAAAAATAATTTTCACGTACAGAAAAGCATAGTTATGGAAATAAGAAAAAAAAAACAGATTTAGGTTAGTGATTAAAAAGAACAATGCCAAAATATAGTACATCGATAAATTATTTAGTCTTCTAATAAATATTATACATAAAACTAATAATACTCGAAGTCTATATAAACATATGCATAATAATTGTTGCCACCCAATAGTGGCAACAAAAATTGATATATTTGAAGAAACCATAATCACTTTATCAGTTTTGACGGTCGACGAGCCGATACTACTTCGCCATCGGCCGTCCTATTAAACACACATGAAAACGCACACACGCACGCATCTCTAATTATAATTTAATTTAAATTACCTATTTATCGTTTTTCATGTGTATTGTGCGTTATGTAATCGAAAAGACCAATGTCTGTGTGTATTATTGTTATATTCGTTTTCTTGATTTATATTTTGCTCGTGTCAACCACCGTTCGTGAACGTTTGAATTTTATAATATTATTATCGCCTAAATCGTATTGCTCTTAAACAGTGGTGCCCAACCCGCAGCTCACGGACACATGTGATCCGCTAATATATTCAATGTGGGCCGTTGCAATTGTTTTAAAATAAAACAAAATGGTAAATAAAGTGTTATTCGATGGCACAACGTTACGCGTATACCATTGTTGTGTACCTATTTTTACATAGCTGGACAGAAATCGTTAGCCAGGAGCCGCGCTACAACAAAGAGTCCGGATAAAAACTGTAGATATAATATATTCCGTTATTTGTGAAAAAATGTATAGTTCGATCAATCCAAGGCGTTGTCGACTTCGCTCGGCCGGCAGTTCCACGGACTTACCACGTAACATGTAAATTCATTCGAATGAAAAACGACGATCCATTTACGCGCTACGTAGTTCGAGAAACATTCTCCGACACGTGAGATGCTTCGGGGTCCTGTAAGTACCTACTTCAACGCGCTGAGCTATATGCAGAATAAAATCATCGGAGTTAAATCAACCGGACCCGTATGTGCGACTTACTTTAAAAAAGTCCCACGTAGATCCATGAAAAAGAGCGCCGTATTCGATTTCGGTTTGTGCTGCTAAATCTTCCGGTGTGCTGATCGGTGTGGACATTTTCTGCACGATCAAATACGCGGTGAAGTTCGACACGTACGACGATATCAATATCACAGTGAAGAACCACCAAACGGCTCCGACGATCCGTCCAGGCGTAGTCCTAAACGCAACAGAATTCGAAAACAATTATAAGACGTGATACACGCGGAACATGTCTGTGTGTTGTTCTGCTACGTAATGTTTTTTACTGTTTCTGTGTTGTTTTCGTCGAAACGCGTTAAAAGCATTATATTATAATCAATGGTTTTATTCGTATTATGGTTAGCAATCATCGAGCATTAATATAGTGTTCGAATGAAAACCTATTAAACTTAAACAATTACAATATTATACATTTATAAGCTAGTCTAATAAAATTATTCCGTGGCAATATCCGTTATATTCCTTTCATTGGCAAATTATAATCAAAATGTTAAATACGATTTATAATCTATATTTTGATAACTCACTAATAATTAAGGTTATGAATACTAAAGTTATTATGTTTTTACTTTTATTTTTTTTTTTCAGAACTCAATCCGTGAATTTTACAAAAATAAATATTAACTCTAGGTAATTTTTCTGCCATGCGTTTTATCCTTGAGATAATTGTGCGAATCGCCTCTTGCATAACTGGTTACTTATTTTTACTTTTGGGAAGAAACATAATTTTCTTATATCTATACGCGTAAGTTATATACTTATTATTTTGCATGAATGAGAGAGAAACTTAATGTTTGATTCAAAATATTTTGTTACATATAAAATAAATTAATTTTAGTGTATAAATAAATGAATATAAATATTATGATACGATTTATTTTAATACTCCAGTACAAACACTGTCTAAATATAACAAGTAAAAAAAAAAAAAATTATATTAAAAAAATAGTGCTATGTTTTGAAGCACACACAAATACACTTGCGTAGCTTACATTATGTATATACAACCATTTAAAAATGAACTTTTCCAATATACGTAATTATTTATAAACAGTTAAAATTTAATTTTTTCTCAAACATTTTAATTAACAACTTTATGCTATCGTTAAGAAAATATGTAAGTTATCAAATTTCGCAGAAGCGCAAACTTTTTTAATTTGCAAGTTTCTGTCGTATATTTTATATTATAAATTCGGTTTTTTATTATTTTTATTTTTCTTTAGAGTTATGGAAGTTCTTCCTACTATATAGCAATTGCTCTTTATTTAATTGCAATTTAATTTTAATTTTTTTTTTTTAAAAAAACTACTTTTGTCACTGTAATGTAAACGTTTATGGGATATTAAAATACTTCAAATTTAGACATACTACGTCAAAATAAATATTTATCAAAAAATATCAATTATATACATAAAAGTAAGAAATAATGCAGAAATACAGATATTTCTCAATAGCTATAGTAGTGAATTAAAGGATTATTAAAATTATATAAAATACATTTACATTGAAGTGCAACAAACAATTTAAAACAAAAATGCACTATTTAAATTGTAATTCATTACAATTCAATATTATTTTATTAATAGAAAATATTCTTATATTTGTGTGCATACTGGTAATAATCAATAAAACGCATGTAACATTATAACCGTAGAATTTGTTATCAATTGTTACGTAGTATAATTGCTATGTATAAAGTAATTGATGAGAATGAGTATTCATGAGTCGACAATTAATTTAATCAAATAAATATATTTATTAATATCAATATAAAATTGTACAACTATTTAGTAGATATTGATTTTTTCCAAAACAAAAATAAATATAAAACAAATATTATGGGTGTATAATATATATATATATTATGTACTATAGTTCAAATGTTTCATACATTTCAAAATAATCGTTTACACTAAACCGAGTGAATGAATAAAACCAAATGAATAAAATTAATCCTCATAAAATTTAATTTCACTTAAATTATTAATATTATAAATTGTGACTGGATACAAAGTAATATTTCCCCGTTATACGAACTATTGATTATTTATAATGAAAAAAATCTTTTATAAAATCCATTAATCTATAATAAAAATTGTTTGAATACATATTATGAGTTATGATTTATGAATAACTGTACTTAAAATGTTTTTAATATAAAACTCTGATTTTATATTATTGCTATTATAACAATATTTATAAATTTACATACTAATACAACACTTTTTCATGCCAATTTAAATAAATAAATACAGTGGTTTTTGAAACATGCTTAAGAAAATATGAAATATTAATAAATAACCATTATTTTTAATAAGTTCAACTTCAGCATTTAAAAAAAAAAAAAAAGAAAAAAGTAAATGTTATTAAAAATTCAGAAGAAATCTTTGAATGTATCCTTAGAATATGATAATTATTATCATTTACTATAATAAGATAATAAATGTCAAACTTCGTTCTTGAAATTGAATTTAAAATGTATTGATATGTGTATATAAAATATATATTCGAAAGCATAACAAATTTCTTTGGAAATTGACTAAAATTTCTCAGCAATAAGTAGGTTTTTTCATCTACCAACCCATAAAATATTCGGAGGAAATCTCTTACCATTGGAACCTATTAGTTTAATCACTTATAACACAAAGTTTTATAAGCGAAGAACTTCAGTGTAAAATATATATAAATACTGACAGTGAGTTTGTGAAACTTTTGGTTTAAGTAAGTCAAATTTAATGGAGTATGAAAACATCAATAGCAAAAGTTATAACTTTAGTATCATTATTATTTGAAATAGGTCACTAATTGTTAAAAAATTATACATAAATATTATGTTTAATAATATCAAAATTAGTAAACAATCAATCAGATAAACATCTGATCAACAAAAAAAAAAAAAAAATGTATAGTTATATTTTAATTTCAACTTCTTAAAGCAATTTGAATCGAAATTTCAAACACCTGGTACTATTCAAAAATCGAACTTGTAAATATTTATCGAACCAGACTTACTTACCACAATAGTTGTAAATACATTTTAAATTTAAAAATAATTTTCACAATTCTTCAACTGTGAACTGTGTACAATATTAATTTCAATATTTATCCTATTTATTGAAATAGTCAAACTCTATTTGGAAAACATATATAATTATTTCGTTTTCATAGCTGTATTGTTGATAAAAACATGTTTACATCCTACATTTTTATGTATTGTGACTTTTTATATTATACGGATTGCAGAATCAATAACTTTTTACTAAAAATTTGGTTACATTCGATTGACCTATATTTTAGAAACTATTACTCCAATGTTTAGCCGTTTCCTTTTTCAATTTATTGAAAAAAAATTTGAGTTCGAGTTCGACTTGAAATTTATCTAGATTCGATTTGAAATGTGAGGGTTCAATCCATTACTAGTATTAATATTTTATTTGGTTAATAATTCTGGAAAAAAATATTTATATAATAATAGGCTATTCGAAAGTTTCATTTGAATAATAAGTCTTAAATATATGTGTTAATATAGTTAATTTGATGTTATATACAATTTTAAACGATTTTATAAACAAAATTAGTACAACGGATGAAGAGTATTATTAACTAACTAGTTATCTATAGTGTTCGAAAAAGCTATTATTAATTCAAAATTTATAAATGAACGTGAATCGCGTTCTAGATTATAAAAAATAAAAAATAAATAAAAAATATTATTTTATTAAATTTTATATTTTAGAATTTTTTTTTTCTTATCTAACATAATTTTAACGGAATTTCACTTTTTACAGGATAACATCATCCAATGCAGTAATGATACTTTTTTCTTCTACATTTGTCTTTTGAAGTCACCGGTGACACACAATATTCGGGTACCTACTTTCTTATATTAGTTAGAGCACAAAAATGTCGAGAAAACATTACATTCTATGAAGTTTATGAAACATATAATTGAAATAATATTAATAACAAGAACGACGATGTCATTATTGCATCGTTGTGTTCCATCACTCTAATACAACCAATCGATTCCGCGATTGAAGCTGATGATGGGAAAACGTTGACGGTCACAATGGCAGTGAAGTTGTATAAATATCGCGGAGCGTATAAATATTACCGTGAAGGTACGTGACGGGAAGCACCGCCAAAATATTGTACGTCCCTCGCACGACACGAAAAGCGAATGATGAACACAACGTTGTACTGATATTTGTTTTTATGATGAGAATAAATAAATAAATAACTAGTTTGCCAACAAATCTAGACCGGATACATACTCGAGTCGGGAGCACACGAGTGAGTCATATAAGTGACAATACGTTTTAAATTTATTTCAAAGATATTTTATGATCACGGGGAAAACGAGAAATAATGAAAAAGTACATACTACACGCGTGAATCATACACGTATGTTATTATTATTATTGTTATTATAACAGCCGATATGCACCTAAAACCTACAAATCATAATAATAATATCCCTGTATTGTGTTTTGCGAGCGCGCACACTAAATAATGTATCGCACAACGGTCCCTGGTCACTAGTAAGTTATTTCTCAATAATATTTCTTTCGCTTGATCATTTGTGCAGATAACTCTTTTTAATTTAATACAATTGATGTTTACATGTATATTTCGTTTATACTTATACACGATTCTGTACGTTTATTTCAATGCGTGAAATGTAACACGATGATATATTATAAGAACTTGAGCGACAGAGAAAATAAATTAGCCAACCGTGACACTTTTCAGTTAGATGTTATTATAAATTAAAAACGCAAATCACAAAATTTGTATGGAAATGAAAAAGTAGAAGAACGGCATGGAATATTACTGGCTTTCATAATACAAACTATAAACATTTATTAAATAATAACTGTCGGCACCGTTTTTTTTTTTTTTTTTTTTTGATTTTATATTCATAATTCAAGCAGTAGTAGCAAAATATTAACATAGTATTAAAAAAATTTCGGATATGATAACACTTCGTCGTTCCCAACAAACTTTTCCTCCTCTCCTGTTATTCCCTGTTCAACACATTTCATCCCCTCATCCAGTTTCTCTTTATACTTAATAAGTTTTAATTATTTTAACTTTTATTGTATTTATTCATAAACGTTATTCTATTATATTTTTCTAGATACAAATACCTTTAAATGTATGGAAAAAAAAATATGAATTGTTTAAATTGGTTAACAATATAATTATTTATAATCAGTTATTTACAATCACAATAATAGATGGTCTATGTTCGTACATACTTGAATAATAAACTTCCAATATATTTTTAAAATCTATAACTTTTTTTGGGGTAACAAAAAGATACCTTTGCTACCCCATAAAAATTTCTGGGGTAGCAAAGATACCACTCGATACCCCTTAGTGACGACTAAGGATAAAATTAATCTAAGATACATATGCATTCATACATAAATACGTTTGGATTAGTTTGTTCTTCTTCGTATCTAACTAAATTGTTAATAAATATGATCACTATTATATGACCATTTTAAAATAATTTCTTATCTTAAATGGTACCGAACAGATAAGTGACAAAAAATAAAGAACAACAAGTATCAAATTTCAATATTAGTTAAAGAAATAAAAACTTTAATATTTACAACTAGAAACAAAACCCACGCTGGTATGTACCTACATTTGTCTGGCAGTTTTTCAATTTTTTTTCCGGCCACGTAGATGATACATTTTCAAAAAAGTGGTCCAATATATTTTGCACTTTTACAAAAACCATAAACAAAAACACTACCTAACAAATGAAAATCACCAGACGATTTTTATATTTTGTTCATCAATAATTTAGCCAAATTGTATATTGTTTAATATTTAATATTTTTTACATCATTAGTGGTTTATTATTATTATTATTATTATTAATATTGATTATATTAATTACGTAAAAATTAATAAAACTCAATGAAAACAAGATGGATGTAAAATAATGTAATTTTTATTATTATTATTGATTGTAGTCGGAGAAGAGAATCTGCCGTTAAGAACTAGTAAGACAATTTTACTTGACAGTCAGGTACTAAGGTGAAGTTATATCGAACCAACTGGTCATTGGATTATAAAGAGCAATTCAAATTGTCGTGGTTAAAATAACCGAAGCGATTCCGCAATCAACGCGTTAATTAGGAAATGTTATGTAATATACGGGTAACAGGTACCTATAGTTGAATTCACTTAAAACATATATATTACTATAATGTAGCATCCATGTGCCGTAATCCGTTCCTTTCAAAATATTAACCTTATTTCAAGGGATAATAAGGATATTTCTCACTGAGAGTTTTTCTGATCACGACTTATAGAAATATACTAATATTTATAATAATACGCATATCATAGTATTTATTTATTTATCAGCAACGAATATAACTATACGAGTACATTGCACAATGTATCTTTACCATACCTACTCAGTTCATTATTATATCAGGCTTGAAATTTAGTACATCCAGTTTCCAACCAAAAAAAAAACATAAAAAAAAAACATTGAGTTTCTAATAAGCCAAGGAGCTGATGGTTTGGGGCGTGCTTATTAATAAAGGGATATGAGAAACTACTATCACCGTGGTCCTTTATGACGATCAAAGTGGTATAAAATTAGTGTGACCTCGCGGTCGAATTACAAGTTTTTGGTGCATTGAAATTTTTATTGTGTCGGATACTTGTCTTGTGGAACGACAGTAAGACTTTCAGTTTTCATACTTTGTGGTAAAATCCGAAATTTTGAGTAACGCTTGATTTTATATGGAATTATACACGGTTTTCATTTGGTAATAATGAATCAAACAGAAACTGTTTTATACATCGAAACTATACAACAGTTCTTCACCGTTGAATATATTGTGCAAACGCTAAAATAGTTATCGAAATAAAAAAAATACGTATAACGGAAAAATGCAATACAAAATTGAATATTTAGGGTTAATTTTTTTTTCAAACATTTATATTTACTATATATTGGTTCTTGTGTTATTATTTATTAAAAATTAATAATAAATTCCTTAAATTGCTTTATCTTTTATTTCGGGTAAGTTTAATGTCTACAATAGTGTCAAATACTTAAATTAAAAATTAATTAATTATTAACAATAATGATAATATTCGTATAAAAACATCGAGGCATTGTCAAAAAATGTGATGTATTTCACTACTAAACTTTTAAGTTTTTTCTGGATTCATCAGCTCCATAATTTATTAATATTATATTTTGTAATTCAATAATGGTTTTATGAAAACAAAAATCTGTGTATTTAACTAGCAAAAAAACAGTATTTTTAATTCTGATGCAATTAATTTGAAATTTCAATTTCACTATGAAAATATAATAGTTATTTAATTGCAGTTTTATCTTAATATCTTATACGATAAATATTTAATAAATTTAGTACATATTTTTCCTTATGAAAATATTTAAAAAAATGTTTATGCACTATTTTACCAAAATTTACCAACTATAATACTTTTTAAAATATTAAAAAATAGTATAAAAAATATATAAAATTGTAATCTAAATTTATAGACGAGTACATATAAATCACAATATTAAAAGAAGATTTGGAATTCAATAATTAATGAATTCGTTATTCAATAATAATTAATTAAGATTCAATTATAAAATATACGATACTTATTTTGATTGATATTTTATTTTGAACCAATTATTAAATATCTATAAATTTTCCTATAAAATGTAACACTGCAGAGAATACAATTTTTGATTTGAAAATTTAAAAATTCAACTTTTAGGTAATTAATTTTAGACTACATTTTAAAAATATACTATACTGTAGAAAAAGTAGGTAATCACTTAAAAATGTTGGCTATAATACCGTCACCTGTTACTGGTTAAAAGTAATAACACATCGTTAAGCAGGAGATAATGCGTTTGCTTATCTTATGTTTCACTATAAACGTCTTCTATATATGCATCAATGTATGAGACAAATATTAATATAAATAATATCCAACCACTCTAACAACCTAATTACCTAACGACCTAATACAAACTCATATTGTTCAGTGAATTTTAGTTTGAAAAATGAAAAAATAATGCTTACAGAAAAAATACACTTTGTAATATTATGTTATGTTTATTATAATTATTATGATACTTAATTCAAATCCATCTTATAATTTATTTGAAATTTATGTTAAAACTGTTTGGAAATATTTTACTTTTATCGTATGATCAAAGAGAGAATTAGAATTAAGAAAAAAAATATTAATATATTATAAAATACTCCTAATAGCAAAACAATTGACTAATAGTAAACTTTATATTGTATTTTCTAAAATATTGGGCAATTTAAGTCAATCATCCATATTAAATAAATGAACATCTACAGTAACTTCATTGTCAGTTTAACTGAAATGAGGAAAGAAAATTATCGTTAAATAGAAAATATAACGTACAATAATTTTATGATCAAAAGGAAATATTTGAAATGAAAACTTATCATGATGACCCACTACCACGAACCACTGTAACTACCTGTATATAATAACACTACAAAAATAAACTAGTTATCTCAATATCAGAACAATTAGGTGTATTTTAAAAACTTGAATGTGTCATATAATAATATATTTTCTTCGAACAAACTGTCGTTTCGAATACATATAAATTCGATGTTATTACAGGAACGTGATTCGAATAAAGCTCTGTGTGTCTATATTTTGATGAAATTTAGATTTTCTTCCACTAATGTCGTTGAAATTCGATTATATTTCTGTTAAAAAAAAATAAATAAAAAAAATCGTCCAATGTCTCTAAACAAGTGTAAAGATTGGCCGTTTTTATTACTACTAATGTTTGGTATTGTTATTCGGCCAATATATTGTATTCTAATATTTTCAAATATTCTTTTCGGCATATGCTTTTCTTGTACCGAACGTTAAATGACGCGCGTGGTCTAAGTTTTCCTGAAGTTATCGTAAGCCACAGGGCCGTGCGATCGTTTTTATTAGTCGTTTGATCAAATACCGATCAATCGATTGTAATCGAAAACCAAACAAATCGCATCGATCGATCGGTTAATTCGATTATATTAATCGATATTACTGTTCGGGTATTTGTCGTCCGATTGACAATATCGTGCCATAATCTCGGATCATTCGGTTGAACGACAATCGTGTAAATGTTCGATCATCGCGGGTAGAAAAAAAAAAAAAAAGGTAAATCGCGCGAAGCGGCTCTTACCTGGGCGCGATGTCGCAGGCCTGTTGCGTGACGGCCGCCGCTGCGAACCACATGCTGTTGGCCAACGTGAACGGGTTGTGGACGAACATCGGTGGCGGCGGTATGGTCTGCTGCAGTTCGTGGCCCAACCCTCCGCCGCCTCCGCCGCCCACTCCACCGACGCCGCCGCCGACGACGTAGCTGTTGTGCACCGGTCTCACGTGGGCGGCGGCGGCGGCGGCGTGAGCCGAGAACCGGGACACCACGTACATGACGATCACGACGGCCACGTAGGCGAACCCGACGCTGATCCACACCTCCCGGGACAGCGGCGACAGGAAGCTGAAAGCGCCCGGCTTGTGTTTGGACGGCTTCTTGATCATAATGTTGATGGCCGTCGACATGAACGGTTTGCTGAACTCCACCACCTTCTCCCGTTCCGCCGTGATCGTGAGCGGCGCCACGGCCAGGTCCACTTCCTGCGCCGACAAAACCCGATCAGAAACATGCGCACCGGCGCGGAGACCTGCGCGGGCCGTGATTTTTCGGCCCGATCCGGCCCCAAAACTTAAGCCTACGAGATGCTCCCGCCTCTGAGCCCGGTCCGTAATGTTTTCCAAGTCCAACCCGTCCAGGCTCGTTCGTAACATTTATTATTTGTTTTTTATCGGTGATCTATTACCGTCAGGAGCGTGCCCAGGAATTTTTTATGGAGGGGGGGTCCATAATTTTTATTTTATTTGTTCTCTAATTATCATTATAGATTAACTCGATACCAACGAGTTACCGTTAATATACTATAGTATGGTTTATACATTACAGATATATTATATAATCTATAAGCTTTGTATATTGAACATGATGGGAAATTAAAATACATTATTATTATTATTATTATTATTATTATTATTATTACTACTATTATTATGGTACTGTTTACTGTTAAACAGTTATGTTGGTATGTAAAAATTTTATTGGGGGTCCGGACCCGACCCCCCCTTGGGTACGACCTTGATTACCGTAAACACCATATGGACTAATAATGTATACGTATTTTTAGTGTGATTTGTCACCAGCCTACTTCATCAATTCGGAAACATTATCTAACGTCAATCGTTGCCATTAGTGTCGTACTCTTATATTATATTTAGATTGTTTTTGACTGGTCCAAAGAAAAATACTATGATCCCACCCACGACCACCATCCCGCAATATTTATATTATGGCCTGGCCCGTTCAGATCTTTAGCATCGATGCACTGCTGCAGGGCTACCGACATTCAGGGTTCGACCCGCTACCATTGTGTACAAGTATATATCAGTGTTTCCCAAACTTTGAGGTGCAACTTTCTGGGAAGACGCTAGCACTTGTTGGGTGACATGCAAATATTTACGTTGTACCTACGTTGCACTATAATTTATTCATTTTTTTGACCGATGGTAATTCGCTTTTATTAAAATAATAAAAAGAAATAAATAAATGTCTTATTTATTCGTGGCAGGCGCGATTACAATTTTGTTGTGTTTTGTGCGTTAACCAAAAGAGTTTGGGGACCTCTGATATTTATCTTAGTGTTCAATTATGAGTAATTTTTAATTTATTTAATAAATTATTAATTGGTATTTTGTGTTAACAATACACTATACAATATACAGATAGAATATCTCCATATATATATTTTAATACAATAAGTTCCCTTCAGTACAATTATTTCCTCTCCCGTTATCCCGTACGGAACTTGTTATTCTGCTGTCATTATATCGTAATTCAGCGTTTACTTTATTTATTATTTGTTTTTTAATTGCTTGGAAACAGAAAACGTGGGGAAAATCAAAAGCAATAATGAATATAAAATATTCTTATTATGAACGAATTATTATCATAATAATAGTTTAGCATATTTATCGAATTTGTATTTAATCTTTGATTTTTCAGTTGATAAAACATGCAACATAAGTATTTTACAAAGTGTTATATAACATAGCAGTCAGGCTAAAACTTATAAGTAAAATATTTATTTTTCTGAGAAATTTCTTCCATTTACATAAACAGAAACGAAGACTTTTATGCAGTAGTTATTTTTCCGGAAATACATTTAATCTGTTACAACCTATAAATGCCTATTGAAATTGCTGGAATAATTTTTTTTATAGATAATTTGTAGAGATTTTGTAAAAAAAATAACAATCATTTGTATTGATTTTCAAAACACTGGCAATACATTTTGCATATTATTATTAAATTAACTTAAATATATTATTAAATCATAAGGTTAATAATACGTTTAATAAGGTCTTATTTAGACCTTCTTGAATAATTAATTCTTATTTGGTAATCTTATTTGTTTCAAATTATCAATATAGTATACATTGTTATAAATATAAGAATAAAAAATAACAATGCAACTACGTCTTGTGAGACATCACGGTCGGGTTGAGTACAGTGATTGGTGCAGAGTATTAAAATTAGTCAGCATTTTTCATATTTTTACAAAACTGTTGGGATATTCGTAAAATAACACCTTGTAAAATACCACCTATATATTTTCTACCTTTTACTTGTTATTAGTTGATTATAGGAGCAATTCTGATTGAAATTATCTGATCGTGTACACAGGCAGAAAAAAAAATAAAAACGCATCATGGTGAAATCAATATATTCCTTGTTTCACTCAAAATCTAATATATCCAAAATAATCATAAATTGTAGAATTCAGAAACTGTATATTTAAAGATATATTTTCATATATTATCCGACTATTGGCTTGTGTTAGCCTTCGAATGAAACGAGGCATGTATTGATTTTGCCATAATGTGTGTTTTTTTTACACGATTTCGACTAAAAAGAGTGCTCCAATCAACATCAAATAAAAAATATAAGACAGAAAATGGGTTCTGGTTGGTACATTAAGGTAATCATTTTTTAAATTTTCCACAGTTTTCTTAGTGATTGTGAACAATTGACGTACATTTATTAACATACTAAAAAATTTACGGCATACAGGATTTTGACAAAATCAAATTTTTTATTTCATTATAACTCAAAAACTAATTATCATAGAGGCATAAAATTATCATTGAATATTTATTTAACCGTTTAATATATATATATATATATATATATATATATAGTGGGATTGAAATAAAAATAATTATCTTATTTATAGAAAATTAAAATGTTCAGGTTTTCATGCTTTTTTTCTAAAATGACGATCAAATAATAACCATCATTTCGAATTATTTCAATTATTTCCATAAAATTTATACTGTTTAATAGAAATTGAAATTTTAAATTTTAAATTTTTTTAATTTTTTTCTAATTTTCATTAGGTAATAATTCTACGAAAATAATTTTAAGAAAAAATGTTGCTGCAAATCAACATTTTATTTGTATTTTAATTAAATGTTATCTAATTGAATGATAAAAAAAAAAAAAAGAAATACATCAACTTAACTTTATACAGAAAATTACATTAATATGAAAATACATAAAGAACATATCTTTCACTGTTATGATAATATTATATATAATATATATAAAATACAAAGTATATATAGAGTATTTGATTTTAAGTCAGAACTTTATGATGTGTTACCATATCATTAGTTTCATATATAAACTTATGTACTATAAATATTGATACATCAATACTATTTAACATTCGTTTTTAATTCAAATAATAGATACTCGTAAATTATAACAGATGACAAGAACATTAAACATTTTTGTATCAATTTCTTTCGCATTTGTCAGACACATAAATAATATGCGAAATATTTTAAGTCACAAATACAATCATTGGTCTTGAATGAATACATTTTAATGGAACTGTATTACATAATTATTTTCAGATTATAATGTATGTTTTTTAATTCAATGCATTTTTCTCATATTAATTTAAATACAATAAAATTATATTTTCAAATATTCTTATAATGCATAATATAAACTTTACTATAAATCGATTGTCCGAATTTGTTTCTAAGCTTATTAATTTATTTTCTTGTATAAAATAATATATCCAAAGTATAAAAATTATAATTTTATTTAATAAAACAAACAATTATTTTGAAATAATATTGCAGTACCTAATAATATTTTGATTTTAGAGAAGTGTAAAAGTAATATTAACTTGATACTATCCGAATATACCATGTACATTCTATGGAAATGTAGAAACATTGAATTAGTTTTAAAATCACAATTACTAAAACAAATTGTCCATAAAAAGTATTTGATAATAACTTGTGACAAAATATTTGTATTGATTATTATTTATAACTATATGACCAACAGCTATCAATCTCAACAAAATACTTTCGAGGTAGTTTATAAGTAATTCTAACGATAGTTTCCATAAAACAATAAGTCATAAAAAACAATTCTAAAATTAAAATACAATTTAATCAAAGCAAAAAATAAAATAACGCCATCAACATAAGTTTTTTTTCTAACTTAATAGTTATAGCTAGACATCAAAGAAATAGTTAGATTAAATCATAAAATAGCACTGAATCGTGAAGCAATGACATATATGAGGAGAGGACGTGGGGGTCAGATCCCTACATTATTTTTATATTATTTAATTATTTTTTGTTTTTCCTTATATTATATATTATGCACTATAATAAAATATTTTGTTATATTATGAATCTATCAAGCTATTGAATTTTGACAATTTTGTCAACACCGAAGACCATTATAATTTTATTTTCGTTTATTTAAGCAAAGTAATGTTTATTTGGTATTTTGGTGGAAGTGGTCAATAACGATTATGATTATATTTTATTATTGCTTATCTTATTATTTATAGAGATAATACTATGTATACAACAATATGTATGTAAGCTCGAATAAATGGACTAATGGGCTTCCACTGAATGCCCGTATTTAAAATATTATCAGATATTATCGTTGTTATTAAATTATGAGAAATGAGAATGATATTAACGCTACGGATTTAGTTCACCGCGTATAATAGTACATACTATTTATCTGAAATCTAAGAAAAAAAAAAAAATTTACAGGATTATTGATATTTTATCTCACCATTTATTGGATTAGTGAAGAAGCATAGTTCATAATTGTACCTACATTTATAAAAACAGTAGTGCTGTCAGACGTCAATGCAACATTTCGATAACCGAGTATAAAACACTTCATCAATTGATCTAGTTTTGGTCAAATTTACGTTAATACTTATTGCACTCGGTGCGCACTGAGTATAAATAATACGTCAAATTGAAAACGATTTAATTACAACTTCTACTGTATGATTATAATCATGATCTACAATATATTTAAACCTACTAGCATATGACTACATCCAACAGTGAATAAAAATAATAAAGTTATTAAAATGTATTATGTAATGTTATTAATGTTGGTAGCCATAACATTGTTATAACTTATAATATTAGTTATTACTGTTATATAATAATCAAATATAAGTAATGAAAGAAAAAATAATATTCTACTTTCGTATTTCAATAAAAGTACAAAATCAGTTGTCGATACTATCTAAGTAAAAATTTTTGAGAGGGTGGAGGATTTTTCCAATTTTTCCCTTCCATTTAACTATGTCGTTTTCTTTTTTCGATCCCCCCCCTTTAGAAATCATGTCTAAATCCCTTTCGTGAAGATTATAAATTTAATCCAAAGATATTACAATTATTTTTAGAATAATAGAAATCTTATTAATATATAAATCTCAAATACCATTCACTCGCACACCAATAGATACATCTCAAAGGTGACCAAACGTATGAACTTGCAATTTGACACAGTGGTTTACCTAACACTCTAGATGTTTAACAAGAAGTAATTTTTTTTAAAACGAATTCTTAAGGGTCGGAATAGTTTTAAACTATTTTAAACTTGGATTTATACATTTGTTCAATTTTTTGTTACCAAGAAAATATTATATTTTAATTAATATATTAATTTCAATAATTACCAATTTAGGTGGTATAAAAAATTGTATATACTATAAATAAAGAAAAATAAATATAATTAAATCAGATACAAAACATTTAGGATAGTTGTACGCTTTTTTAAACTTAAAATATTTAAGTTTATGATCAGTACTTGCTTTAATTTAAAAAATTAATTATATTCCAAATGAGTCAAAGTAATGTAGCAAATTATATAATAATAAAGAACTAATAAATTCTCATCGATGTAGTTTTAAAATAAAAATACATATTATTAATTATCAGTGCCTTTCCTAGCTTTATAATGTGATAATAAGGAACTGTAACCTTATAAATTCACAATTCAGTAACTAACCATCCAAAAATGAACACAAATATCAACTAACATCATTAAAATATTTCTGAAACTATTCAAACCTTGTTGGTCATTAAAATTATTAACAATATCAGTTATCACATTTATATCAACAATGCCTTTGAAATATTTTTGATGTTAATGTCAATTAGATTTAATTGATTTTCCTTGTCTTGTTTTTCAATAATTTAAAATTTTACACCTTGGCATATCTATAATATATTAGAATATATAAATATACGAAAAATAATTTTATATTGAGAAACAAACGATGTATATAAATAATTTAAATTTTTTTTTTTTATATTATTGCTAAATTAACCTACTTGAAATCATATAAAAACTTTATAAGTTAATATTGTTAATTGCAACTATAAAAAAAATAAATAAATTTAAAAAAAATAATTAGATAAATTTCAAATAACTCGAGTAATAAAGATAGAAGAATCTTAATTAAAAGACATTTTTTAATATTAATTAAATGTTTGTACTACACTTTCAGTAATTGGTTAAAACCATTATACTCTTTTTAAAGATGAGTAAAACTATCATTCAATTAAATCCAAGGGGATATTAACATTTCCCGAATTTCTATCGTTCTTTGAAGGCCAATGTTAAATTGAATACAGCTAGTTATCTCAGCAAAGTCAATATCTAAATTATAAAATTGACTAAACAATCAAATGTATAAAACCACTGAAGTATAATAGAATAATTTGGATCTACATGAAATCTGTTTATACAAGATATTTAGTTAAACTCTTCTCATACGAATTAATTTTACCGTGATGCATAATTTAACTGGAATTAACAATTTTTATAGCTTTAAACGACATTTTATCTATTGATTTGTGAATGTAAAATGTGGACCAATGGGTATAATTTATTTTGAAAAAAAATGGAGACTGTTACTGAAAATTGTCAAGTCTTAACGGACATACGTAAACTGCGCCCAAATAATATTTATTTTTTTTTTTAAACTATGCTTGAATTTTTATCTAACTTGAAAAGGTATAATGTAAACTGCGCCCAAATTGTTATCTATGTCCAGGAAGTGTACCTGAGTATTATGTGTATTATTTAACGAAATCTAAGCTTGACGACAAAAGAATAGCAAGATTTGTGAATTATGTGGTAGATGTATGAATAAGTGAAGAAGAAGTATTCACTTGAAATATGGGTTTAAACATCAGCAGAGCCAACTTTAACCACTAATAGAAACATATATTAAACTAAATAGTATAAATTAACCTTATAAATATCAAAATTCTAATTTTATCTATCTTAATAAATATAATAGTGGTCCAAATCCAACTGATAGATATATATATATTATCAATATGTCATTATTTATCCTAATATTGTACTTTTAAAACTATATATACATTTTAATCTTTAATTTTATTTATTTTAATAACATTATATGGTTGTAATGAATTAAGTACAAATTAGATATTGTAATTTGAAATTATTAATTTTTTACTTTGGTTTAATATTGCAAAAATAAAGCTATTTATTTTTAAAATTTTACTTTAGTGCAGGTTAAATGCCACTTTTTTACACTTGACAAAAACTCGGACACAGTTTACACATTACCTTTATCCACTTGATAAAAACCCGGATGCAATTTACAATCACTGCTTTGACAAACATTAATAGTATAGGTATCATATACTATATTATATACCACCCAACTATTATTATAAGAGTAAAGAATATTACTTTTATAGATTTCTATAACATTATAAACTATGATACGTTTGAAATTGTCATCACTAGTTATTCCGTTACTGATATATTAAGTTTATGCAAGTTCATATTTCCAATACTTGTAAATAAGGATTTTTCTATAATAACTTAAAGCATTCATCGCAGTATCTATGCAAAAATACTTAATGACTTTTGATATCTTTAACTATTTTTATAGTAAAACTGCAATACCATTACCGCTTCTTCTTTTATATAAATATTTATATAGTCAACCTAAATAAACCAAATAATTGTATGTTGACTAATATCAAAATGTTTTGTCATTTTGTAGCATTTATATTATAAAAAGCTCACAAAAAATTAATTCATATTAAAATAAAAATAAATAATAAAATTACAGCAAAACGTTATTTTTTTATACGGGTATCTTATAAATATATTTTGCTTTAGTAATTAATGCAAATAGATAGGCAGAATAAAATTATATTTTTCCGGGATATCTATTTATATATGTATTTATTAATGAATTATTTTTAATTCTACTTTTATTAAACAATGGAGCGCTTCGTCGAGTATATGAAAAAGTATCTGTATCAATGGATAAAACCTTTTTTAATGATTAATAAGGGAACAGAAGTATATATAATTGGTAGTGATATAAATCCCGGCAGATGCTTTGCGATGCAAATCGTAAGCCGTGTAGATGTTTTTCCGTTATTTCATTTCATGTAAATTGAACAATTATAGTAAAGTAAAAAAAATATATATATATGGACAGATGGGGTTGAAAAATTAAATAACCACAATCAGAGCATGAATAAAGAAATAAATCTGGTGAGTAAATTAATATTCTGCTTCCGTTGTGCAACAGTGATTTTTACTTGGTTTTATTCATTAATTTTTAAAAAAAAATTGTGTTGTTAGTAAAACATTAATTAATTACAATAATACATATTGTATTAGAAAATATACAAACTTGAAAACGCCAACAATGGTTTGAATATAACACAGTACTAACCTCAAACTATTTATACGTTATACATATGATATTATAAAAACCCAATGCGGAACACGCGTTTTAAACTCATTGCGATCCATAAACTCAACAGCTATTAGCAGGGTTAGACAACTTTGGGTCGCATCCGGCCCACGTACTTTTTTTTTACCCGGGCCGTGTTGCGTTTTCAAATTACTTCATACATTTTAACATTTATCGGTATTTCATTTTATAACTCTCATGAAATATACATGTTATATTCTTATCCAGTATCGAAAACTGCAGCAAAATTATTAAATGTCCAAATATAATATACATGCATATCAGCATAACTTACATAGCCATAAGTATTAGTTACTTATTTTATTGTACTGATTGAGTTGTAAAATTTAATTATTTAAATAAATGCTTATTGCCAATTTAAATGACTTTTTTTTTCATCTTCTTTACTCTAGCCCGTCAAATTTTAAAGTTCTTTGGATTGGCTCGCTAGTTACTGTTAGATACCCATTCTAACTATTGGTAATAGAACAATATTACATAATTTGTATTTACTAATATTTTATAGACAATACAAGTTTTCAAAAGTAATAAATTGCCTAAAATCGATAGAACTGATTAAACCGAGGAGAATCACTATGAAATAATATGAACGACAAATTTGTTCTATGCATTTTTTATTATAATTAATTTTATTCCTTATAATTATTCTAATTTTATTTTCCAGTTATAAGTTAAATAGGTTAAATTTTAAATGACTCTCAAAACTGTAACTAAAGAGGAAGCCTTTGAAAAATTGTGCCTAAAAATTTGTTATTATACACTTTACTTTTATGATTCAAATAAAAACAAAAAAAATTAAGAGCTAAACATAGATGAGAGCATCATATATAAGACATTTAATTAAGTCCTACCTTTCTGATTAATTCGCCGACCATACCGTCCCAACCACCTTTGACTTCATGGTTTTCTGTTCCATATTTCCTGTCTTTGACGGTGCGCAGCTCATCTAAGAAAAAAGAAACACATTATATAAAAATGAATTTAAAAATTATACCATCATATTCTATAATTTTAAACTACAACAGTTGTACAATGAGAAATACGAATATGTCAATATGTTTTAATTCGTAAAAAGTTAAAATACTAATTAAGTATCTCAACGTATTCACTAACTTATAAAATAAATTTGTTATTTTATTCGATACTCAAATAAAAACCATAATAATTTGAATCATTTACATTAACTTTAAATATTCAATGAGTTATTCATTAAAATACTCATTCAAACTAATCACAATATATTGTAAAGTTACATGATTAGATTAAATTATAAAAATAACATAAGAGTATATAATTTAAGTATGGCAGTGATGAGATATTTAAATTATTTTTGATATCATACAATATCCGACAAAAAAAATTAAATCTAATTTGAATATATTTATATAAACTTATTAGGTAAAAAAGTTAAAAAAAAGATAGATGAAGAATTGCGCACGTAAAATGTTAGACTCAACGATTAATATATATTCTATAAAATTCACATTAGCCAAAAGTTCTAAAAAATCAAATTTTTCATTTACTTATATTTAACATTTAAAGTGCAGTAGTCACACAGTTGGCTACGATACGTGCAGTCATAAATTTGAACCCGGCTTAGTGCAAAAAAAATTCTGCAGAATTAATTCTGTAGCATCTTTCCCCTGTCACTGTTCTGGTTGCTCTCTATACTGCTCCTTACCGGATCAACCCCACTGGGAGCGAAGTCCACACACGTAATAGTTCTCTATTTAGAGAAGGAGGTATAAGTGATACTCCACTTTACCCTCCAAAGTGAAAAATATATCGACAAATATCTTTGACGACCGTTTCGATGGTTTGAGAAAAGAAATAAAAAATATTTAACATTTACAATAAAAATGTATATTTTTTATACATCGAATAAAAATAAAGAAAGTTTGACGTCAAATATCCAATGATGCTAATATAGAATCCGCTAAAAAATAAATTGTATTTTAAAAGTTATTTTTGCGTACTAGTAAAAAATTACTTTCCAAACCGAGTTGCTTATATCTTAATCTTCAAATGAATCAGATGCTAAATAAGATTTCCAACGTTTTTTCACTCGTCAACAAGTATATGGACTCAGTTTAAATAGTAGTGAGAAACAATTTTCGACCTTTGAGACATAATTGTAAGTCGACATGCTATGTTATAATAAACAATTGTCGTCAACAACTCGCATATAGATCACAAAGCATTAAACGTATTTTGTATTCTAAACACAAACTTAAGTCGAATATTTACATACAAACGATTATAAAAACATGTTATAAATTGACTTGAGATACAATACTTACAAACGGTTTTGACGAAGACATCCATAAATATTATATTATTTAAGAAAATATGTTAATTAAAAGCAATAGACCATTAATAACGGCGAATGATTGTAATGAACTATTTACCTACAGTTATATTTTGAAGTGAAATAAAATGTTACCGCAGCTAAATTCAATTTTCCATTTTAAATCAGAACGAATAAGTGTTTTAATTATCATCGATTTTTTTTCCGGACGAGATATTTAATCACTATCTCATATTAGTTCTGGGAACTAAATGGTGCGCCTATAACAAATAACAGGTGCCTAACGCAAACAACTTACTATAAATACGTCTTTAGAATAACGTTAATGAAGAAGAAAAGGAAACTTTTACACCAGTTTTGGTAAACTCTCATTTCTTGTTAATGGGTTGACGGAGTTCTATTAAGTTCCTATTACGTATTTGTATGTGTGTATGCGTGTGTAAATTTTGTGTAGCCCAACATGATCTACTAGATAATCGTCAGGGATGACCTTGAGGTTCTGGGGGTTGTTTAGCTAGTCCATTAGCACACAAAAACCTTTTATTACTTCCATCACTTAATAAATTTCCAGTACTTTGGAGTATTCAACAAAAATGTTCTCAGTGGCGTATTTTCAATATTTTTGTGGGACAGGGGAGTTTAAAATTTTTCTAAAAAATAAGTGATTTTATAATATTATAAAAGAAACATCCCTATAAGGTATGAATTAATAATTATATTATTCTACTATCGTTATAAATACTAATGAAGAGTTATTTATTATGAAAAAGATTGTCTTTTATTTTCCCAGTTCACTGATATTTTTTTCTAGGATGTTCTGGGGGTATCAGACCTGGAAACCTCATTTCATACAATTTGTTAACACATTACGAATTTAAATATTTTGTCTATTTCACACTTTTGATTTAAATAAAAATTAAGATTTTTTTTTCAAATAAAAAAAATAGAAGTAAAAACTAATTTACCTATTTTTCAATTTTAATGAAAAATCATCCTTAAATTTCCATATAAAGAAATGCAAAACAAATTGTGAATAATAAGTAAGTATAAGAATATAAAAACAATATCAAGATTTTACGTTAAATACGTTTAGAATTGAGCTCAGGTTGACGAACTCTAACCATTAGTTGAACTAAATACTATCCCATCAAAATAGATTTAGAAAAAAATCTTCATTCGTCTATAATACACTTGTTTCCGTAGCGCTAGATTACCAAAGCTTTTAGCACGATTCTACCTAGCTTCTTCATTATATACTTCTACAGCGTATTCAATCACTGCATGTGTACACAACACGACCACTATAGTTGGTAACTTTTTTTTTGCTTTTGTAGGATTTCTGACTAAAAAATATGAGAACAAACTACTATCAGTCCACCCACCACGGTCTAGCAACTTTGCACTTAGAAAAATGTAAGTATTTTACTCTTGAATTTAGTGGAAAAATCAAGTCATATTCAAACTATTTTGTAGTTATACTTCATATTTGGTTTATTCAAAGACGGGAAAACGATTCGAAGAAAACAATTTTAAAATAACTTTAGACATGATCTTGTTATGATGATAATATGTTTGCGAAACTCGTTGATTCGGATAACTTTATAGACTACATCGAAATTGTGTGGTGATAAACTTGTCGCGTTATAACACATTATACGTTATCAAAAAAAACTTTTCAAATACTCAAAAATATGTAAAATACAGCTGATACGGTTGATAAACCAACGTCTTGACGCGTATATCATAGGTATATACTTTATCCAAATTTAACTGACATTGTAATATATTTATAATAAAATTATGAACGACAAACCAAAAATATTTTTTCATGAAACATCAAACTGCTACAATATTGTAGTTCTTTTTATAACCCATTTAATATCGTTATAATATTATACTTGAGTTGTTAAAATTATATTGTAATTATGTAAACAAATTATTGACCTTTACTCAAATACTTAAATTATATCTCAACCTAGTAGTACTTTTTTACATTTTTTTTACATTAGTATTTTACTCAATATATTGTATCCATCAGCAACACAATACAATTTAAAAAAAATATTTCTCATCAATACTTTTTTTAAAAAATCCCAAAGGAAAAATTTATCACATAAAAATAACAACTTTTTCTTGAAGTGCGTTTCATCATACATATATAAAGAGATTTTTAAAAGTTTTCCCATTTTATATGAGATATATTTAAAACACTGAAGAGATCAAAAAAAAAACTTTTTAATATACATATGTAATGTTACAACTTATATAAAATATGAGCTAATTTTTTTTTTTTTTTTTTTCATAAAATAATAATAACCAAATTTATAAATTGTATAATTGTTTAATTTAATTCTAGTTTATTATAAATTTATTACAAAAACATAAATCAATAGGTCTAGTAAAAAAAAAGAATAACGAAAAGTTGTATAATTATAATTCATACGTATATTTAAAATAAACCTGAAATTTATAAATATGTTCCGATATTTTATTGAAAAAATAGTAGTTTTATATTCAGGTTTTAAAAATAATAATTGCTGAGTATTATATATATTTTAAAGAATTTAAATGTAAAAAATGCATTTATTTTTAAGTTATAGTTAAAATAACACAATTATGAGTTTATATTCAATTGTTTAATATAATTTAAATTCCTGACACGGATTTCTATTAGAAATCACTTTTGGGACTAATTGAATGATATAAACAGTAACAATCTAAATTGCTAGAGAACAGAATATGAAGCAGGAGAGCCCTTCTATTAACCTAATTTGAATTGCTATAACAGTGTGTTTTTGTTTCACTTTCTTCATTTCCTATCTAAAATCCAATTTGGTCAATAGAATATTCAGTATATACGTGTAGCCTTAATTGCGATTGTTACACTTACAAAATGTATTATCATCCAATAAATCAACTTTTCTGGTAAATATATAATATAATGAAATGCATTGTCTATAAAATGATCGAATCTAAAACAAAATTAGGAATCAGTTTTACAAAAAAATGCATTCAAATATATACGTTTCATCTGTTTCAATACCAAGAATACCGTTGGATTGATTATTTAATATTTTGTTTTAGTTAAATAAATAGTTTAATTTATCAATACTAAAAATAAATAAGGTAATCCGACTGAGCTAATTTCAGTTAATTTCCATGGATATAATAATTAAAATTGATAAAAACTGTAAATACCTTAATAGAAGGTATGTAACATTCAATAAATATAATGAATAACAAGGAAAAAATAAAAATAAGTTATTCTCTTATTAGTTATTGGAAGGTTAAAATAAATAAAAATTCATTACACTTTATAATATTATGTAAGTGATCTTGGCTTATAGAAATAATTTACTAAATATCGTGTAACCTTATTTCGTGTTTTAAAAACTGATTAAATAGCGACTTTTAATAAAATATGCAAATTATTATAATAATGTCTCATTAAAATTAACTAATAAATAATAACATGTCTTTTAATTTTAGTTAATAAATAATTTGTGAACCGTTTACACTCATTGCTAATTAAAACCATAAATTATTAATGATCTAGTTACAGCGTTAATTTTACAAGTTTTTTTAACTGTAACTTTTAATTCAATACAAAACAATGATTAATAGTTTAATATTTAGAAGATGAATTTGGTTTTATTAATTAATACCAATGCAAATAAATAAACTATTTATAAAATATGAATTTGTTCACAGAATTTCAAAAAATATCGGATAATTTTTAATTATAAGTCATAACTTACATTTTATTCCAATTTTATCAGCCAATAACTTTGTTAGATCTTTGCAGTATCCTTCAAATCGATCATTTCCAGCCAGTGATTCTCCATACTTGGGTTTTTTAAACATGATAAATGGCTCTTCCTGCAAAATAATCAAAATTATAATTAAATGTACACAAAATTTTACATTGTTTACTAATATTTTACATGGTACGAATTAAAATAATAAACAAAATAATATTATTGATAAGGTATTAGATGTTCAATGTTTAGTTTTCTTAACTCTGAAAATTGTAATTTAGTATTTCGATTCCTTAAATTTTAAATATATTAAATTTAATTATAATAATTCAAATCAAAAACTATACAGAAATTGATAAAAATTAAATATTACAGAGCATATGTATATTTTACTGTATCTTCTTATAGAATACATTCATGTTTTATGGCAAAATTAAAAACAAGAATCTACCTTTTACTATTTTTCGACCAATAATAATGATATAAAGAGCTAAATAAATTATTTTACAAAACCAATGTAATATATTACACACCGTCTATTCACGTTTATAATGTTGTATGCTCATACACGAAATTGTTGACTTTTTGAAATAAATATGATTCATCAGTTCCAACTACTATACAACTTTAGTACGACACAAAAGAGGAAATAATACCATATGTATAAAATACATCAACTACTTTTGGCGGTTCGTCTAAAACCAATTTAACTCTTAACTCATAGCTTAGCAACATCAGTTTATATCTTTCCATCTCTCTTGACTTCTATGGTTCTCTCCATCTCTCATTCCCCTCATCAGTTGATGTTCATACATTGATAATGTTTAAAGTTTTTGGTATGATGATACTCGTATTTCATCCGAGCTTTGGGAACCTCCGGAACAATGCACTATCTCAAAAGATTTACGGCATTTTATCTCTTTAAATATCTGTTTGCTCTTCTTTCGTTTTTTCCATTTACCTTTTTTTAACCATATTTCCTGTCAGTTATGGCTCAGATATTATAGAAAATATTTATTCTCACTTATATCTCTTTGTTACAGCACCATATTATTTATGAGAGTACCTTAAATTTCACACAGTTATAGGACTGTGTTTGTGAACAGAAGGACTATCCAATAAGTCATCGATATCATCAGCATATGCTGTTATGTCATACAGTATGTGTTTGCAAGTTAAATCAGCTGAAAAAAAGTTTTTACTGTATATACTCACCATCACTGTGGCCACAATTAACGTAGTATTGCCTTTGTGTGAATGTCCTAATGTGGGAACCCTTTCCGGTTTGCTATTGACTGTCTTAAAGCCATCCGTGTCTGACCATTCTGCAATCTGAATTGTAAGTAAAAAATTAGATATGAATAACTTTACATCATACTTAATCATAGTGGTTACCAACATTTTCTATAGCCACACATTGGAATTATTTTTTATAAGTAGCGGCATACATTAGATAAACATTGTCTACTTGCCAAAAAGAAATTCTAAATATTCAAAATATTTAGCTATTTATCAGGTATAATAAAATATTTATATAGTACATACTATATATCATAAACTGTATCTAATTTAGTAGTATTCCATTTATGTAGGTACTATTATTTTTCTTTCGAAATAAAATGTTTTGTTCTGCTGTATGAAACAGTTATGTTCAAATCAGTAAATCAACCACACCAGTATTTTAAAGTTTTGTGTCAGTCATTTTATTGAAATATAGAACACGTTCAAATAAAAAAGAATGCTTGACGATTCTTGGAATAATAATGACAAAAATACAGGAAAAAAATCTATTATAGAGTCTATTAAATCTGGTTTATTATCATTTAGGATTCAACTTTTGGTCATAAGTAACATTAATTCAAACATGTAAAAGTTTTGTTATATGTAACTATTTTAACCCGGTATCGTTGTAAATTTAATTTTCTATCAACAAATAATTTTGTGCTGTATTTAAAGGACGGTGACACTTTTATTAATATATACATATCTCAAATAAATTTAGTTTAAGGGACTTCATATTATTGCGGTTAAAAATTAAAAACTATTATTTAATTATTATTTATTTTTTTATTTTATTATTATTATTCTTTTATTTATTAATTGAACATTTATAAATATTATTCAAAAATTTACATAAAATTAGGCATATTATAATTATAATTCAATACAATGTTTAATAGTAAAATAATTGGATTGAATATTATAATACAAGATTTACAATCACAGTTTATGAAAAATAAAATATTAAAGTTAAATTATCATTAGATATCATGTTTCACTAGACTAAAATATTCTAATACTATCATTTCGACCATTGTAAATATAAACATTTACTCAATCGATTAAAATAATTGTTATAGTTGAAAATAATTATTCAAAAATAATTTAAATACTTACTTTTGTTATTGTACTATCAATTGTCATCTGTACAACGTGTAATGTGTAATTATATCGTTTTCCATCATCATTAAACATTATGTGTCCGGTCAAACCTTCCATAACCACCTAAGTACATATTATATACAAATATAAATTAATATGCATTTATATATATATATATATTATTATCTGTTACAGTGTACAATATACGTAGAAACATGTCGTAAACAATGTTAAAAACAATCAGAATAATAAAACAGTAGAATATAAACACTGAAAGATTCGATTTAATATATTCAGTTTAGATTAGTTGTGAAAAAGAATAAGTTTTTTCAAATGAATTTAATAAATTTTCGGAAAAATAAATCTAGAGAGAGGGATTGGACTTTTCGATTCATTTAACAAATTTGGAGTGTTGAAATAAAACGTGACCAGTCTAGGTTAAACAAATGCGTGAACGAGAGTAAGGGAAGGATGAGTTTTATTTGTCAATTTTACGCATGAGATTCTTGAAAACTATCAGTATTCCAGTTACTTGAAGTGTATACAAATAATTCAAATCAACGGCTTAGGTGTGGTTGGAGGGAGAAAGTATTGAATATTATCCATATGTTTGAACATTTATGGACATCGTCATGGTATACAATATTATTAATAGTAGGCACTTATTTTGTTGTCAACACCTATGATAATGTAATATAAAAAAGGGTAAAAGACATTTTTACCATTATTATTAAGTTCAATTTTGTAGATGTTCCAATAATCAATCATGTTTTTTTTTTAAATCAATAGCATAAAGGTGTTTTTTTAAATAGAGAGGATAATGCAATTTAAAATAATACGAGTGACCTTACATTAAAAGTACCCATAAATAACTGGAATACATTTTATGAATAACTTTAATTTTAAGTATATAGTCGATTTCTATTTTATAAATACAACCATACTTAAAATTGAAGTCAGTAGTAAAGATCGGACACCACTATGGACTTTTCTTAATATGTCTATGTTATAGAAATCGAGACCATTATTCGAAAAAATAACCATGATCTACAAACATTCGATTATTTGCAATGTAGTTTACTATTTAAAAATATTTAATGACCAAAGTTGGATAATAAAAATGTGCAAGGTATTTCTGAATACTAATCAACCATTATCTCTCATAAAATCTGATGTTTATCAATAAAATCGATTAAAAGAAATAAAATGTATGTATGAAATATGTTAAAAAATCATTGCATTTTTCTAAAATATGCATTCATATAAAACACATATTTGAATACAATTTCTTTATGGTTACATAGAAATAATGTTTGTTGATACGGACGTATTATAAAAAAGTGACAGAAGAAATATTTTTCCTTTTCCAAATTAAGCTTACAGATTAAATATCTTAATAATAAATTCAATATTAAAACAGGTCATTAATTTATTTCATAATAAATTATAATACTTATTTATTTTGCGTTGACATTATGTTATTACATAATTAAAATTCATTAGAAAATAAAGGTGAACTAAAATGCATATTATATGTAGGTAATATAAGAACACAGTATATTTCATTTATAAAATTAATATGAAAATGTACAATTTAACACGTAGAATTCTAAACTAAACTTCATACAGTATTGTTGAATAATATCATTTGACATCTTGACGTATTGCAAAGTAGTCGTCACTATTTACATATGTTAAACACAATTAAATTATATTATAAATATAATATAAACACTAAATATTTATTTTGCTATTACTTTCCGTCATATTCTGATATTTGCTGACGATACAAATATTTTCCACATAATTATAACCCTTGAATTAATAGGGTCGTATGAAGAAGTACTTCCCTCTCATTTTCTCATTTTTAAAAGATAATTCAGCTTACCACTTCTTATTTTTCTAAAATATTATAAATTACTAACTTCTTCAGAAAACAATAAACATTTTTAATACATTTTTGCACATATATAAGATATTTTCCTTTAAATATCGACATACCATGGTATAAATATTACAGTTTTATTATGCCATCTCTAAAGATAGAACCTGCAATGACTTCTTAACTTTAGCACACTAAAGAAATTGATAATATCCATTAGAATCAAAGAAGTAAAATTAACATAAATATATATATTTTTTCTTACCAGATTCCTTAAAATATATATATTAATAATCAATATAATTTGCTAATAATATTATAGGTGGATGTTTAGTTTATTTGTCACGTTTATTATGCCATACTTATAAGTAATATTTATTTAAAGAATCGTATAATGATTTATGCAATATGATTTGACCTATCAACAATGTGCGAGATTAATACCATTGCGTTCATAAATCCTATTTTTTCTCTCTGAAGCTAATGTTGATTTTTTAATTCAATTTATGACTTACTCTAATTGTATTGTTTTCAGTGACATTGATTAACTGTATAGGTAAAATTTAAACAATAAACATACATAATTTAAAAATTTATTATATTTTCAAATTTGAATTTTATATTATAGAAAATAAATTATAAAAGATATTTATGATTACTTTGTGTAATTAAAGTTTAAAAAAAAAGTAAAATATTCGATACAAATATAGTAATACAATAGTAAAAATTTGATACAAAATTCGGAATTCTATTTTCATTTCAAACTCATTAAAAACGTTATTTGTATTGGAGAAATAAAATATTTAACTAGATCACAAAAAATGTTTTGTTTTAATTACATCTATTTCTGACAACCTATTAAAAATTAATACAATTTAAATGGACTCTAAAATTTTTTATTACCGACATTTTGTTTTGATGATCCCTAAATATTTTAACGAATTCCTGTTAACACGTTTTAATTTTGGTTACTCCTTCCAATGCACTATCATACGTTGATTTAAATTTGATGAATTTCAATCAGCTAGTTGTTTTATTATACATATGTATAATTTATTTATATGAGGTTTGACAATGATAAAACTTGCATGTTTGTAAGCATAAATGTATATGACATAAATCATACGCTTAATTGATCTACAAATCTAGTATAGTAATGAAAATAATTGATTAGGAGTCCACAAGATTTTTGTTGCATCTGTTTCTTTGATTTTTCAGGACCCATTCCAATAATTTACAGGTATATTGACTAGACCGTCTAGATTACTTCGACTAGATTCGTTTTTTTATGCTAAAAAGATAAGACTTAACAGTTGCCTGCTTTAAAAATAAATTATAAGATTACAGTAAGAAAAATATCGGGTCCATATACAAAACGTACAATTTTGAGGCAATGGATTTGATAAAAATTTCATTCAAGTCTAATTCGTTTTACGTTACGGCAACCGAGCTAGTCACATATCAGTTAATATCCGTAGATATGATTAAATCACCGATCGATGTCAGTGTAGGTCTACACCGATTTAAATACGTTATTAAAGTTGATATTGCTATTCATATTGCTCAGGCGTTAACGTCCAATGTTGAAATCATTCACATAATTTCACAATAATCTGTTCTGCAAAGAAAAAGAAAAAAATGGAGGAAAACATAAATCGACAAAAACGTTTATACTGGCGTCGGAAATCGATCGTGTCTACAATGTTACTGTCTACGTTCCGTAAACATAATCCTTATGTTATCCTTATGTACCTTTGTTCGACGCCGAACACATCTCTTGAACCATTATCATCGCTGTTCGCTGCTTCGAGCGGTAATACATTGTACATCATCGTACCGCCGTTATCGTTATTTCGTTATAATCATAATTGTTACTACCGTACGAGCTTCAGCAGCCAAGTGTACTCTGCGCACGTTGACTGTTATTGGAGCGGAGACATTTTTACCAGACCTCGGGGTCCCGGCGAAAGAGAGATAATAAAACGTGACAGAGACGGATGCTGCGAGCGACAAGATGACGGCGACGACATGCGGAACCCGACCCGGCCCGCACCGATACACCCGCGCGCCACTGCCGTCGTCGTCAGCTGCCCCGCGACGACGGAGGAAATGAAGATTGAACGCGTGCGAGGTGTGTTGTTCCGGGCACGGAGCAGCAATAGGTGAATCTCAACCGGAGCTCCACTAATTTCACTTAAGGGAACGAAATTAAAAACGCGCCGTTGCCGAGAAAGATGGCGGTCGCGCGCCTGAAGGCGGAGACGATAGGGGGTAGGTAGTGGGGGGTGAGAAAAAAACAGGGATTATGTCGCGTGGACGTTATTAACGCGACGGGATGTCTGAGCCCATTTATACCACTTTGGATAAACTTCCTCCCCTTCTGCCCTTCGCGTCCGAGTCCCGCATCGTCTACCCGAAGACGATCTCGGAACGGAATACTTGCACGCGCGCATTCGTATACGCGAAACGACGTGCAGGGCGACTTTTACGCACTGTTTTTCGTTCGTTTTGTTTTTTTACGTTTTTATTCCACTGTCCAGACCTGTACGCACAGGGGAAACATTTGAAATTCTATCCATTTGCACTGTTGGCGGTAACTGTTGATTCAGTATTTGTTTCTGTGCCGTACATTATTTTAGCTTCACATTTAAAGATTAGCAGTCAATACATTTAAACGCGTCCATAAAATCGAGTATCAGACCGATGCTATACGAACAACAGCTATTTGAAGAAGTTTGACCGAATATTCAGATACTATAAGTAAATAAAAAATGTGATTACTATGTGTGATATAAATTGGTTTCTACACTATAACGGAACTATTTGAAAACAATAGAAGATCATTTACATTTTAGTAGACATAGTGTGCTATCCAAATCAAGAAATAAGTGAAGATTCTGAATATTTTCCTATATAAATTTAAAAGAGTTAAGACTTAAAAGAGTTACGCTGTATAGTAAATATATAATACAATATACTGTATACGTGTGTATGTACATAATATATATATGTGTGTGATGACAGAAAGCATTATAAGGAAAGAGACTACCAGAAACGAATATAGATTATAAACACTAGCGCGGCGGCGGAATGGAAAGACGACGAAGGAAAATAGAACAAAACAACAAGAAAGAATTATTTCGTAATCAAGTTTTATATCTACTATTCTCTACTTACTACTGAACCATATTTTGCTGAGCGTGTCATAACCGATTGACAAAATTATTATAATTTTTTCTTTGAACTAATGAATACATTTTTCATTGTCTTGGGCCGTATCTATGATAAATTGCACTTACATGTAAATAAAATATGGCGTTTGTGAGATATTGATAATAAAAATATCTAGTTACACTTAAATCGTTCATAAAAATAGAGTAATTTAAAAAAATCTTATTTATCTTAATTTAAGAAAAACTAAAAAGCAATTATTTACAACGATCAATTGTTATTCTCTCAAACGTTAACTGAAAATGCGTATCACCACAAGATAATGATAAGATGAAAATACTAAATTTAAAAAACTATATGATAACTTAATACAGTGATTGATTAACTTTACAATTTCAAAACATATTCGTATTTAAACTCTTACTATAACTCTTATTTAAAACTATATTTTGAATGGAACAATTATACTTTTACCATGATGTAATTATTTCTTATATTTTTTTCTTGTGTATTTATACATTATTTCAAAATCGATTTCTGATTTAATTTGGTCCTTTAAGATCGTTTTAAAAATTGTTCAACAGTTTTTTTAATAATTGCAAAAAACTGACCAAAAATTAAAAAACAAAAATAGCAAGGCTTAGGATATACCTTAAATTTATGGACTATATTATATATAATATTGATTACATGTTGATAATAAGATTTATTTAATGGAACATATTCTAGCCAATAGAATATTTAATTTAAAAAATTATATTTTCCGAGAAAAATTATTTTTTCTAAAATGCAGAGCATTTAAAGATAAACCTATGGAATTAAGAAATTTGGTCCTACTACTATATCTACATATTAAAAAGTACTAAGTGTTCTACCCGACATCATTAAATTAGAATTTATTTTTTTAAGAGCATTGATACATTGGTATTGGTTTCAAGTTTAAAAAACCAATGCACTAAAATTATTCGCCCGGCTCTGGAGCCATACCCAAACTAGTTTTGCCCTAATATATAATAATAATAATAATAATAATAATAATAAATGAATTCTTCAAATATTAACATACTTGAATAAATAGTCACAAACAAATTTTTAATAAAAATGAACCTTAGTGATAAAGCAGGTAGTGTATAACATGCTTAACTCCTGCACATGGACTAAGCTACTGTGTATTTCACTGTTTTCGTTATTTTGATAAATACGTCAAATGTTTTTTATAATTAAACCCAAATTAAAAGCATTATAACATTTCTTAAACATATTCTAAATTGATCTTGATATCCAACGAATAAAACTTATTTCACGTCAACAGTTTGCAATATAATGGAAATTAATGATATTTTAAATAATGTTTTTCTTCTTAAATTTAAGATGACATAAAATATTGCTTAGAATTTAAAATTCGAATTGTTAACTATTATAAATTACGATAAACATTTTATAAATTAGAGATAATCATTTTTCTTGTATAATTAAATTACTATTTTAGTATAACATGTTAATCCATTTGCATTATGTATATACATAACATTTTTAACTTATAAAACCACATAGTTAGTATACAGAATTAGTTTACTAAAAATCAACAACATGAATATTTAAGATGCAACATTTTATCATGATTTTACGAAGACATTAAAGTAATTATAATTGTAACATGTACTTCTTACCTTTCTTAGAAATCGTGATATTTTTTCACCATGTTCCCACTGATTTCCCGACGATCGACCACTATTACAGTCTAAGCCAAGAATCTGCGATGATGATATACTAGACGTTGACGAGTTTCCATTTGGTAGAGTTCTCTTGGTGTTCGTTTTAAACATGTCCGGTTTTTTCCACAAAAGCTTGTTAAACGTCTCTACTAGAACTAGAACCGCATCATGCATCAGTGCAGCTTGGGCCTGTATCAAATAAGAAAGAAGAATGTAGATCCATTAAAATAAGGCATTACACCGAAAATGAGGTCCAAAAGAAGGATCCTCGGTATTCAGTTGGGGGAAGAAGTTGTATGTTTGTATATGAGTAAGGGATTAGGGTAATACGTCAACCGACGACAATTCGATGCACGGATCATGACAAATGAGCAAAAAATTAACCCGAGACCTTCATCCATAGGTCGTCACAAAAAAACAAAAAACAAACAAAAATTATACATATGTATATACAAATATATTATATAAAAACATAGGAATTTTCAAGGTACTGATTATGGTGAGTGAGAGGAGGGCTAGCAGGATGAGAATAATTTTGAGTGTGATTGATTTGTTGTTGTTGGGGGATGAAACGGTTGAGCGGCCATGTTTGTCAGTAGGACTTTAGCTCATGATTGATAGCAGAACATTTTCGAGCGACGCCCGATTGAGGAGAATAAAGAGACGATGGTGTGTAGGTAGTGTGCTGCGTAGATTATGGGAGAGGAAAGGGGCCAGAAAGCTACGTTCAATAATGCAGAAGCCACAACGCAGTGAAACACAATCACACCAAGGCCCGGAACTAATTCATCAACCAAGGTCGGTTCTGAGAAAAAAAATTTGGCTTATCCTGTCAACGGATAATGACTAAAAATATTGAATCGTAAGAGTAGCTTAACAAATTTTGCATGGTGTTGTGTGGTAAAATCACATTATATGATTGGTTAGAGGTTAAAAATAGTTCAAATTTTAGCGTACGTCGAAGTAATAACGGAAATGGAACCTACAATAATGCAACAAGTATTTATGGTGTTTATGCTGTGCTTTAAGTATATAATACATCAGTAAAATAAAAAATAAAAAAAAAAAAAAAAAAAAAGAGAGAGTATAAGACGTTTTTGCATACAAACACTAAGTAATATATAAAATTAATAAATTTAAGAATAAATATAAATCTCTATTACAAACTCAAGTCAAATAATGAATAACATAATCAAATTAGATAATTTAAAAGATATATTTTTCGTTACATAATAAGATTCGGCCATATCGTTAAATCTAAATTCAACGTTATAAAAGTTTTTATGTACTATAAGTGTTACAAATTTAAAAATAAGAAATTAAAATTTTTGTTTGAAACGTTTAAAATATGAAAATTTTAAAAATGACAAATCTAAAATTAAAAAAACTTTCAAATGTAAAGTTATTAATATTAATCTGATAACTTTAGAAAATTTGGATACTATACTATTATCTAAAAACTTTCCTTACAATGATTACCTACATGGTTACATTTTTAAATGTTTATTCGATTGTTTAAACCGTTACTATAATTTTTTTTTTTTTTTTTATTGTTTATATTTCAATAAAATACAGAAAAATCGTTTTTAATTTAAAAATGTAAAAAAAAATTTTAATTATTTTAAAGTTAAAGTTATAAACCATACATTTTAACATTATAATTAATTTTAGTTTTTCTATTATTTATTGAACTCAAATTGCATTACAAACATTATAGAAAAAACTGATATTAAATAATTAAATTTAACTCTAATGAATGCTATATCTCAATAACAATTTATTCATTAAAATATAAGATACAGCTTACAACTTTTAATGATTTACTTTAACTAAAATCACCAACGCACCAATAAATATTTTATTTGCTATATTATCGAAAATGTATATAATAACAAATACAAACAGTAATTTATAATAAATTAATATCAATCGAATATTTAGTTTATGATGAGTTGAAATATATAACAAAATAATAAAAGTAAAATATTTGTCACTTTTGGACATGAAAATTAAATTTAAATAGACAACAATAAAAGCATCTATGTCAAATAAGTTAAACTAAGAAAATAAATATACATGATTCACTACAGACGATATAGCAAAAATGGAAAAGTCTCATGTATCTTATTCAATTGAGTAAATAAAATACAAAAAAATATATTCTCTAGCATTTGAGAGCGTATTAAGTAAGGTTAATTTGCTTACTACATAAGCTGTATAACTCAAAAAATATTAACGAACATATACAAAGTATATTCAAAATCAACATTATTATCTGACCTTAAAATCAAAGGAAAATGGACAATCATGGGCCATAACAAAACCGAGCTATTTGCATATATTCTGACAGTGTCAAATATTATAAAATCATAATAGAAGGATTTTAATGTTTCCATCACACAACCCAGACAATTTTGTCTGAAAGCGCTATCGAACACTACCTCTATTTATTTAGGTATAGTTACAATACTGTTTTTTCCTTTACAACGTTTTCATGTATTGAATTAAATTCTGTTATTTATGTCAGATATATCAACTTACACAATAATATAATGTACGTTGTTTCTAAAAGATAAGTCCATTGTTCAAATAAAATGGTAGCTCCATAAACACATTGTTTTTACTAATCAAAAATATCAAGACAACGAATTAAACGCAGTTACAAGTATTAAAATTGATTTTAAACGAACATTAATCTAACATTATAAAATTAGTTTTTAAGTGATGAGCATACAAAACTGTACTATAATCTCATTTACTAGACTGATTCAAGAAAGGTCTAAGTTCTTGTATTTGCGTACAAGTACAAAACAGACCAAAACTTTTGATTGTCAGTTATAATGATTAATGCTTTAGCAATCTTGCAACTTAATTTGACAAAAAACCTATATAAAATTAATTATATTAAAATATAACATGATAACTGTTCTTGTGCATTTAATTTCAAGAAAATAGTCTGAATATTTGATAAATAGTTCTATCGAAGCCATAAAAAATATATAATTTTTATAAACATAAATTTGAGATTACATATTTCAATATTTCAATATTAATATTTAATGATAACATTCGCTATATGTTCTAGATGATGCTGTCTCATTTTTATGGACATTTTATAACACCACAGAAGTAAAATGTGTCTGACCAATAGTATTCCAAATTTTTGAAATTTCAACTTTCAAAAAATAAAAGATTACATATTTTACGGCATTAAAAATAGTACAATAAAACCTGAGAATCAATATAAGATATTATACATATATTTTAAAACACTTCAATTTTAAAATGGTTTTTACCATCGCATATTTATGATTGTACATGACATGATACGAACACATTAAAGCATTATTAAAACTTATGAGTATAAACTTATTTATATTATTTGGGGGGACAATTTTGTGCATATTTTTTATGCTATACCATTTGTTTAAAATATATACCTTCTTATAAATAGTATATAAATTACTTGAATATTTTAATTTAAATACTTATATTGTTGTTTATTACTATCTTTATAACAAAAATGCTAAAAAAATTAATTAATTTTTACTTTGTAATGAATACTCATATAATTAATTCATTCCCAAAAAATATACTCTCATAGTTAGTATATTAAATAAAAATTTAAATTAAGTATTATAATGTATTATAATTTTACCGAAATCGTGTCCTTTCCAGCACCAGGTGAATCAATAGGATTTAAATTTTTCCATTCAGAAAGAAAATGTTTAACTGGCCATTGATTCATATCCAATAATCTGAATCCTGTTATGTTGATAGCACCGTACTCGATAATTTCTGACTCCCAGTGATCGTCCATTATCTAAAAATTGATAATAAATACACAGTATAAATTATTATAAATCGTATAATATGAAAATCTCAATTTAAGCATGAATGTGGTGGTAAAATAATATATACAATCAAGAACTATTTATTAATACATATTTTGTATTATTTTAGATGCATATTAATTGTTACCCGAAATACTTTACTCACTTATATTTTATTTATAATGTTTTAACTTCAAACCTTGTTTATAATAAAAAAAAACTCCAAAAAATGAAATATTAATTGAATAACCGATAACCGAATAAATTGTTCAATTTTCGCATTAAACAAAAAATTAAAACATTTTTGGATAAGCCACTGAAATCTATGCCATTAAATTCAGAGATAAATATAAATCATCACACTCAAAAATTAATTCTATGCGGAAATAGATTTACAATACAACCTCAAAATTTAAGTCTCTGCAGCAGACATGTGGTTCATGGCTAATAGTTTTGTGGCCCGCGGCTACCAAAATCAATCGACAAAATACAAAAGGTACAGTAAAAAAATTATAAAATATTAATGTCATGTCGCGGCTATCTTAGACACTTGGAAAATGTTATGCTTGGTATACATTATTATGACTTATATTCTTATAAACTGTATTCGAGTAAGTTTTACTGATGAATTTATATGCATACATAAATAAAAATATAAAATTTTTTTTTTCATTAAATTTTTGTGCGGACCACGTATAGTGATTACAATCCTGGGATACCGAATCCCGGGATTCCGACTACTTTTTGGTACCGAAAATATCGGGATCTGTGTGATAAAATACCGGGATTCCCGGGACTATGTAATAGCGATTCAATAATTTAATCGATGCCGATTGCCGATCAACGTGTTTGTAAGATAAGATAATATTGTATTTACGAGTATTAACACTGATCGGTTTACGTACTAATAACTTATTAGTAAAAAGTAGCCGGTGATAGAAACACGTAGGACGTAACGTACATTAACAACTCACGGATCTTTTTTTGTATATTTAACTGTGTTAATACTTTTATTATAAAATGTATAAATATTTAATGTCCATTCCTCCTACTAGCATTGAATCAGAACGTGCATTTTCAGCAGCAGCCTATATAGGAAACAAGCTAAGAAATAGACTGGGAAATGAAACATTGGACGCTCTATTATTCCTGAGATCGAATTTTCAAAATAAACAGAACATACATTTCTTTGTAAATTATAATAATATTTTTTTGCTATATAAAATAATTAAAATTAAATTAAAATAAAATGTTTGCATAATTCTTTTTTTTTACATTTCGGGATAATCTCAGGATCCCGGGATCAATAACTAAATATCCCGAAATCTTGGGATCGTAAAATAGGGCCGGGATTGTAATCTCTACCCACGTAGTAAACTATTCAATATATTTAGCCCATTTTATACTTTGAATTTGACATGCCTGGTCTACAGTATCGATGGTTTTTAATTACTAACGACTATTCTAGTGGATTTTCAACGATCCCTATGACGAGAAAAATATCACAATCGTAAGAAACGTGAAATATGCAGTGACAGTAAGCTTTGACTAATGTATTTATTAAATTTAGGATAGCAAGTAGAACACGTGTTAAGCACAATGACAGCGTCAAAAGAAAAATTGAAAAAAATGTTTATGGATAGAAAAGAATTATTTAGAATAAAATATTAAAATTACTATTCAAATTCAAATTCAAAATTACTATATAATAAATACTTGTATATATATATAAATAAATAAATAAATGCTTAACCTGGATTATTATTATATTTGTAAAGTACGATCGGTTTTGAATTAAAAACTCATCATCAGGTGTAAACAAAGGCAACAAAATCATGACTGAATATAAAAAAATAAAAGTAATTTATTTTATTTTATTTTTTCATATTCAGTAGCGATTTTATTGACATTATATGCATCTGACGATGAATTTTTAATTTAAACAGGTCGTAATTTATAAATACAACAATACTTAGTAGTGGTTCTATATATTTATCAAAGATAAATTACAACTAAAGATCATAATAATAATTTATAAAAAGTTAAAAATAAAATTACACTAAAATATAATGAATAATTTATTTCCATGCATATAATAGTTAGGGAATATGTATTATGTAATTATGAAACATTACTATATTAATTAAAATCATAGATTTATAAAGTACTTTATTTTTGCTTTAAAAAATATACAAGAACAAAACAACTTAATTATAAGTATTATCAATTATTTTTTAAGTACAATTTCCAATTTTATAAAAATATATTAATTATGTACTACTTTACTCAGACTAAATCACCTAGTATCATGCTCGGAGTGCCATATTTTTTTCGATTACATTTGTATTATACACAAAAAATAAAACTTTATATCAATATTTATAGAAATAAATATCCTTTACATTCATCTTATAACTAATTAGTTTTGATAGATTAATAAGTGAGTCTATAATTAAATCAATATTTACCAAACCACTTAGCAAATAATGATAAGTCCTCTTGCCCAACTGGATATCTTTTACATGTGACACTAAAATTTGCTTAGCCATCAGTGTTGGACAATCGAGCACAATTCTTTTATTGCCCCATCTGTAAATAATATAGTACTACATTACAATCTTGCAAATTAAACAAGTGAAAGTAAAAATAAAAATGAATCCATACATCTATACTTTTATAGCTTTAAATAAAAAGTTTTTAATTTATTTGAAGATGTAGGTATTGTTCTATATATATATATGTCTTAAAGAAAATTTAAAATATCACATAGGTAAGTGGTTTCTGTAGAATCGAATCGATTAAAAAAGGAGGAGGATTTCTATATATACTTTATATATTTTATATGCAAAGTACGTTACACAGTTGGCTGATGAATTGGGTCAGAGGGCCGATTCGGGTTGGAAAAAAAAATCGCTGAGAAACCAATTCTGCATACGATGTAGTATTAAATCGACCAAAATGCGTATACTCAGAATTCGAATATTTCGAAATATATGTAGGTATTTTTATGTTTATTTTTAAATATCAAAAATAATAATAAGATACGTACATTTTAATTGTTTGAAATTTAAATTTAAAAAATAAATGATAAAAATAATGAATAATGATGTTATATAAGATTTAATTAAAATACATTTGAAAAATTATACTAAGCATAGCTTAGTAAGTCCAAAATAACCCCGATAAGTTAAAAACGTACTTACTTATAATTGTGTTCAACTTAATATAATAATATATTGAAATATACTTAATTTTTTTATTTATATTTAATTATATGATTAGTGTACAACTCATTGATAAAATTTTATTTAAAAAAAATATTAAGTCATAAATACAATTTAGAATTATTGTAATGTCTCATATAATTTAACCTTATTTTATATTAAAAATAGTATAAATATTTTTTTAAAAACCTTTAGATATTTTCTAAATATCAAAAAAAAAAATTCATTATTAAAATGTCTAGAAATTATATTTGGTGCTAAAATATTTAAAAATTGATTGTAATAAAATACAGTCGCTAAATCCGCTTAATGGGGACGCTGCATAAAGAGGACGACCTCTTACGGAGTTACGTTACCTCTAACAGCAACAAATAGCCAGAGTGCCGAACAAATGTATGAGATTAAAGCAATTTAACATTGTTTGTTGGCGACAAAACATCGGTTATAAAGAACTTTAATCTATACATAGGTACTTACTTTCTTATCGAAACCGTAATTGTCTAATATCTGTCTTTATCAGATTTTATATAATAATATTATGTTTAAATAATAACAATTTCCTACGTATTTTACTTTTGCTAATCATTTCTTTATCTCCTACAACCACATATTCTATGAAGATAATTAAGTTGACTAGCCCACGTACAAAATTGGTCAATAAGCAAAGTGTTAATAAATTACAACAAAAAAAAAATGGATAAAAGAATGAAGGAAGAAAATGAAGAATATAAATAGAAAGAAATAGAAATAGAAGAAGAAATTTTTCTATGGAAGAAGAAGAAAAAGAAAAATATATGATATTTTTTTAGCTCAATAAAAAAATGAATTAGGTATGCATTTTTTTACAAAAAATATTAAGTTAATTGATTAATTTATAATAAATATGTATAGGTATATAATATAATTTACGATATCATAATATGTATAACAAATAATAATTTTAAACTAAGTATTTATGTTTGTTATAATAAATTTTGTATAATGAACTTTCATAGTTTTTTAAATTTTTTTTTTTCGAAATCGGTTTATTGTGACAGTCGAGTAATGGGGACAAATATTTCACCACCCTGTGTATCCCAATTAAGCGGATTCGACTATATTATTACAGGAATTTTATTACATTATGTTACTTATATTAATTTATATTACATAAATTAAATTTTTTTACCTGTTTACTCGTTCAATTTGGTGAATGAAACTTAATGCATCTGAAACATTTTGAATACGTTTTACCATGTCTACTTTAAGGCTATTTGGCCCTAGATCTAGAGCTTCATACAACTGTTGTAAACGTAAAAGTCCTGAAAAATATGTATTAAAAAAATGAATATACTAATTACTTTAAATTGATGAGTGATATACGTAGTATAAAATTGTTTATAATTATTACATGTAGTAAGTTATAGTTAGTATGTAAAATATAATACATCATTTCTTTTATTATGCAAAAATTCATTAGTAAGTCTTTGTACTTCGGTTTTTCAAATCATCTATTTCAGATTTATCGCCCGGGGTACATGAATTACCCAAACACAAAGGATTTACGCCATTGGCATACGAGAGCAACTACAGTGATGACTAAATAGGGTTAGTGGTTTTTAACACAAAAGAGACAATGCGACGATTTTATTTGGTATATATTTGCACTTCAAACAAATTTTGTCAACTTGAGTGCACTGCATCTTCTAACATTTACTATTTGTTTAACGCTTGAATTCTATGTATAATAAATATCTAGACGACACTAGGGTTAAAAAATAGAATAAAAAGCGTAACCAGTTTAAAAACTGAAGTATACATAGAAAGCCAAAAACAAAAGTAGATGAAATGGTATACCTAGGAAGAAAAATCGAATCTAATGACAATAGCGTTCAAGAGATAAAATAATGCATACCATAAGAAAAAGTTAAATTATTCAATTTGAGAAAGTTACATCTCAATATCAAGAAGAAACTTATTAAAATATATGAATAGAGTTTTACAACATATGTATGTGAAACATGGACAATACGATACCGAAAAGAAAAATAAACTAGAAACCTTTTAAATATGGTGTCGGAGATGTATGGAAAGGATAAATTGGATATAGTGGAAATAAATGAAGAAGTACTCAGTACTGTGGAAAAAAAATACACTTATATAAGCGAATAGAGCAAGACATTAGAAAATGGGTGACATGCTATGGACACCTAGAAGAGTTTACATAATATAATATTATAGGGTGTGATAGAAGTAAAGAAAACAACAGGACGTTGCCGAAAGTCTTATACAGAAAAAATTATATATAATGCAAAAATCAAAACCTTTAAGGAACTTAAAGAAAAGGCTAATAGTCGGTCAGAATGGAGAATTGGAGTTATGCAACCATCGGGTTGATATGAAAAAAAAACAAATTTAATAAATTCAATACATTGAAACTTTGACCGTTAATTGTATTATTCATTAGGGCCTAACGAATAATCGAAGTTCTACTGTACATTTTTTTTTAAATATAGTATTGACAAAATTATAAGCAATAATCTGGTGAACGTATAGTAAAAAATTACATTGAACATATTACAGTAATTTACAATGATCAGATGATCAAATAAAAAACTAAAGTAAAAAATATTTTCTAAATAAGTCTTAATTAACCAAGTTATTTTAAGTATTGTTTTTTATTATACATTATTTATACTTGTAAGCTTAATGATATACAATCATTAATTTTATATTAACACATAAAAACTGTAAATAATTCGATTTTGACTATTTTAGTTTTTTGAGAACATTATAATAAACTGTTTTAATCTAAAAATACTCATTAAACCTTATATGATGTTTATACAAAAAATAATATGGAATGGAATAAATGATATTTCAATTGAAGAAATTTGAAAGCAGTAGCCAGAGGATATGATAGTTCCACTGCACTCTTTATTTTAATTTTCTTACATTAGCATTGATTTATATAAAAAGAAGAATAATTCAAACAGTATTAATGGAGACTAGAAATAATAACTAAAATTCAATATTTTTATGCATATAGATCATAAAAATACTTATTTTATTTTATTTTATAAACATATTTTAAACAATATTTCTACATTTTTTAGCTTTAACATAATACCAAAAAAGTTAAAATTTACAAAAATAAATTATTCTTATTGTTTAAGCAAATATTTTACCGAAATAAAATCAAAACGAGATAAACATTTTCCTCTATAGAGTATACATTTATACATGTATACATTTCTTAATTATTGCATTTCTTCAATCAGATAATTTATAACCGATTATGTTCTTTTTTAATGACATACTGATTTATAAGGCAGTTGCGCTTCTGAAAACTATATTTTGACTTAATTTTAGATTTTTTATGATATATCACGCACATTAATCAAGAATAAAGAAGTGTAATTTGCTCACTCTTTAGCAGTCCACACACTATACGTTTGATTATAATAAGCTTATGCAAACAATTAACAAGATTATGCTAAAAGTAATATTTTAAAAATAGGAGATATTTTAAAAACAATTAATAGATTATATCTTATAGAACTGTGTTAAAAATAGACGTTGGAAGATAAAGTATCACAATCAAATATCAAACTTGTTGTACAGCACAATAAAAAGTAATCGACCACGTTCTGATTATACATAAAACATTTAATGTATGCTGGTTAAGTTTCAGTCACAACCACACCCTCTCCTTTTAAAAACGTCGAGGTAGAATTTGCTAACTTTATTCATTCTTACCTCAACGAAATCGATTAAAATGCATTTCCTAGAACTTTTAAGATGTAAATCTTAGGTACAACTGATATAACTAATTTATGAATATCAATATAAAATAACACATAACTAAATTTAAAAATATTTTATCCCAAATGCCTTAAAGTTTTTTACTTGATCTAAAAACTTGAAATTAATCACAATCACACCAAGAGTATTTCCATTCTAGAAATGTTAATTTGTTGGTACTTCACAACCAAATTTAAATTAAAAGAAGTAAAAAAACTAAAAAAGTTTTTTTAAAGAATTACAGAAATATTAAACATACATCGTTGTATATATATATAAATTTTTTTTATATATTCATTCATTTTTTTATATTTTATTTCAAATTCATAAAGAGTTAACATAAGTGCATAGAATTTCTGAAGAAACTTCAAACTAAAAACTAGGAAACTAAAAAATCTGTTTAAACGAGTGGTCGCCAACCTTTTGGATCTCACTTCTATAAATAACAGTTTTTTTTACAAATAATAAATTCGCTTTTTAAAAACAACAAATTTATTTATGATTATAATACTATAATTAAATCAAATTTCAAAATATTTTAATTTATAAGTATCAAATAAAGTGTGATTTACTTGGCCTTAATCAAAAGTCAAAAACGAAATGAACGGTCAAAATATCTCTGGAAAAATTTCACCGGACAAAATTTCCCCGATAATTTAACTGTTAAAACACATATCTAAGAAAAAATAATTTCTGTACAAAATATTTATATATTAATATTAAATAAATATTATAATCATTTTTAAAACCTTTTGTTTTCAAATGGCTATTAAATATATAAATTTATAAAATTCTTGTTAATTTTATAGCTATCAAAGTACCTAAAGATTTGTAGGATGTTTTAAAATATTATAATTATTATTTTTTTTTGCAATTTATGTTTAATTATTTTAAAACATTTTCTAGCTTATGACTTTGCAGTTACCAACAGAAATCCGTAGCTATTGTTAACGTAAAAATTATCACAAAATCACCCGGCGTTATGAGTAAGAAATCGAATATGCATTATGGCAACAGCTAAGAAAGTCGCTTTTCATAATCTTTTAAATTGTCATTTTGTCACGGCAATAGAAAATTAGCACATACCTAATCAGTACAGGGTTAAAACATAAACTGATGGTCACAACTCTATTAATTTGTACTTTAAATTTATTAGGGTAGATATTTTGTATCGATATTTTTTAAGATACATTTTTTACTTAAAAATTTGGAATCTTTATATTCATGTATGAAAGTATATTTTCTTTGAAACTAAATTTAAAAATACTTTTAGCTACTCGTCAATATTGAATTAAATATAATTTTTCTACGGTTTTTCATGTAGATGATATCCATTCTTCAAAAATTAGAAAACTATAAAATAATAAGTTATCAGCAATTCACATTTGTATGTAAGCTACTCCACATAAAAATGTACAAGAAATAAATAATACCTTTCCATAACCTCTTAAGAAAAAATCACAAAAAGGACAATGCCAAATCCTTTTTGTTTCTTTACTTGGTCTTTAACAAGAACATTCGACAATAAATGGATATTAAAAAAATCATCTCCATTAGTGAGTACTATTTTTTACTCCGCACATATAGAACTCTTTTGTTATTAATGAATACTTTTGCGCATAAATTTGCCTTTGTCTTTCCATTTTTTTGTGTCTTTTTTCATTTGATGTCTTAATATTTAATCGATTTTTAATTCGAGTCGTTTAAACTAAATGAGAGACGCAGCCACCTAACGTTTTTAAACATTTTTTCATTTGGAAAAATTAAAACAAGTTAACATACCACAACTTATTTAAGATGATCTAAATTTTAAATAAAAATATTTTTCTCGTATGGATATGAAAAATTAAGAAATAAAGAATATATTTATACTTCTTAGTTACCGGATAATTTTGTATCTAACATCAAATAATCATAATTGATTAACAATTTTATACTTTTTTAATTGTACCATTAAAAATTGTTTTTAATTATAATTGTTATATTCGATTAGTAAATAAAAAACTAGAGTCATAATTTAAAAGTTAAAATTTTGAAATTTTGTCATCTCAATAAAGGTAAAAGATAAACACTATTATTTTGAATTTGTACATTAAATTTACATGTAAATCTATTAAAGAATCAAGTAAAAACTTAAGGTTTTCAAATACTTTTTAAAGTGAAGTGTATACATTATTTTTTTTTAATATTCTACTCATATCCCAAGGTACAATTAAAAATATAACTAAATTGGTTGCATCAAATGCTGAGGTCCGTCTCAAATTAAATGTTAAATTGCATAAATTTTGCATTCACTATGTATTAAACAAAAAAACTAATAACCTTTGCTGTCGATGTTTTCTAAGTTCAATAAAATAAAAAAAATGTAATTTTAATTTTAATTAAAAATCAAACAATCAGAACATTAGAAAAATGTAATGATTTAGTAGTAACATACATTTGCAGAGTTCAATTTTAAATCATCAATAAATTATGTAAACCCAAGTTTAAAACGTATAATTAGTAGAATAAACTTACCATCATGTGAGTCGTACATGTAAATAATATTAGTCCAACCATAATATCGAACTGTATCCAATATTGCACGATGGTAATCCGGTCTAAGACTAACTGCATAATCTAACATTCCTGATGAAGGCGACAATACCTACAACAGAAGTAGTATTATGGTTTTTTACTTTTAAAGAAACATTGTTAGTATATTAAATATTAAATCATTTTTTAGTTAAATATTGAAATTAAAAATTAAATTAAATTATAAGCTTCTCTTTTTTCTTTTTAAGTAGTTATAAATTATCTGTACTTTAATATTATAATAAAACAGCAAAAATTGCATTAAAATATTATACATAAGTATTGTAACTATTTTTAGCTGTTTTTGTAGTATACAGTATTTATAGGCCAGAATAACGACCACAACAGGCATTTATACTTAAAATAAATTAACAATACCTATGCTTATATTTTAACCAACTAGATATTGCTTACAAAAGGACTTATATGATATAAGGTTATTATTTATTATCTGAATAATAACCAGAATTGACAGAATAATATGTAAAATGTTGTCATTATTAAATATGACTCGTTGTGTTATAATACACATAGTTGTTTGTTTATCTAAGATAAATCAAAATAATAATACATAGTGAAAAATACAATCACCCACACCAAAATATTTATACAATTCCTCACTTGTTCGGGAAACCAAGGCGTCACAAATGGCATCTGGAATGTATTGCTGTAGGAATGTAACGTATCAAATGAGTCTGGGCTGACACTTCCCAACATGGAATAAACACCTCGCGAAAATTGGATACAAACTGAAAAATAACAAAACAATAAAACTAAATAAAACAACGACAGAAATAGTTAGACAAGGGAAAAATGCAATATATCGTTTTAGACAAACATTTTTTTACGCGATGACAAGAGGAATCTCATTAGGGCAACTATCTCGACAACAATAGTTATATATTTGGTACAATCGGTAATTTAAAAAATAAAGTATAAAATAATACATATGATTTCATTACTCCTATTGTAAACATGAACACATCACTCGGAGAAAAAAAACATATATTATGTAATAACAATTACCTAACCTACTAATATAAATATACTTTCACATTTACTTATTATTAAAATAAAATATTAAGTAATATAGGTAATTGTTAAAATATTTTTTGAACACTTTGCTTATCGTAAAACATAACAATTTTTAAGAAGGAATTACTTTAAAACAGGTAAAACCACTTTAAAACTCGGTTAAAACATTAAAGGCGTAATAAAATTGTTTTAAAATGTTACCATTCACACCACTCATATCTAATACTTTAATATATAATACTAACATAAGGTATACCGTATTATATAATATATGAAATAAATAACTAAAATAATTTGTATATATTTACACATGAGTATACATATTTATTGAACTTAAAACAACTTGAACACCAGAGGCCATTAGTAACTAGTACCTATTACTAATTACATCAAATATTGTTTAATAAATTATAAGATCATTCAAATAAAGTTAAGAATTATATTGTTTTAGTTAATTGAAGATTAAAGGTTTTCAACATGTCCAGAATGAAGTCGAGTGGATCCTGTCAATATTTTCAGTTATTGTTTTATTGCGAGCATATAATTTAAACAAACCACATACAATACCGTATTAGATTATTACCTATTATTATAAAATTGTGAGTTTCTTAGGGTTTATTAATTTAAACCATGAGTAGAGTATGGATAAAATTCTGTACAGAGCTAGGGTATAATGATAATATCATTATATTATCATCATATTATCCACATTATGATGTATTTTAATAAGTATTGATGAGCAATATTATTACAATTTAAGTATTATATATATATATACCGCCGGTATAAAAAAAAGAAAAAAGTACATCACTATTAACGTAGGCAACGAATTTTTGGACCTTATTCAAGATAGACATCGCCTTTGGAAACTAATATGAAGCAAAACGACACTTCATTTCGCCGCCCGAAAGTCTCACAGTAAAAAAAAAGTCATCATGCTATACATCGTGGTAGAATTCTGCGGAAATGTTTGACATTTTTCGTGTCATGTTTCAGACCGATAATAATCGTCAAACATCCTCATGTTTACCATTCGACAGGTATATGTGAGAACCAAGAAACAACATATAACACATAGAAATGTCTAATGAATAATATAAAAACCCTACTTCATATGACCATAGCGGGAACTTCCAATTTAGTAATCATTAGTCAATACTTTAAGCAAAAAATAAATAATAAATTTGAAGTGTTCATTTTTATGTTAAATTTAAATTATAATAATTGTAATAATATTAATTTCTGATTTTTTATAATCTTGATTTAAAGCCTATTTAAAGTTTTTCTTATTTTAAATTATACTTCTATTATGTAAATCAAAATATCAAATTGTTCGAATAGAACCTCAACAAAAGAATTTCATATATATATTTTTTGATTTTGAATGAAAATTGCAATGTATTATGTACTAATTGTACTATGTAAAATAATATTTTACTTTATCTTTTACTGATATCCAACCTATTCAGCTATTCATATCACCAGAATATTTCTTTATACATAAATAATATTCATAAAAATAAACAAATGTGAAAAAAAAATAGAAAATTGCTTATTTTATCAAAATAAGTACAAATGTCAGATAATGTTATTATAAATCTTTGTTTTCCGTATTGGGAAAATTATAAAGAAAAAATTAATTTAAAAAAAAAAAATCAGACAAAATTATTTTTCATTTCAATTTGAGTTAAAATAACTGTACTATGTTAGAAAAATTCGAACTATTTTGGTACGTTTGAAAATATTTAAAAAATTATGTAATAAAAACCAATAATTAAATTCACATAACTTATCAACATTTAACTACAATGATGTAACATAAATAATTTTTCTATAAATGTTTGATTAAAACATAAGTATTATCATTGATTATAAATACTATTATAAGTATTTATAATCAATGGTTTTACAAAAATATACCCTGAAAATTACCTAATAAAAATAAACTCTGATTGTATACCATAATTATTAAGGTTAAATATTTAAAAATAATTGTAGTTGTGTACATTAAAAACACTGAATGAACTATGGATAACGCGTTCGTGAATTTTCAAAAAGTAAAATATTTATGTGAAATAGAACTATTGATACTAAAAAAGTATTTGAATACATTTACTCGAATATTTCTACTCAAATACTGTGCAGTATATCTTATAACCGTATACCAGATACAGCATACCACGGTTCTATAATATATTTCATAGTAAATAGTAAAAGAAATATAACGTTTACTCAACTCCATACCTTAATAAAATGCATGGTAGTCACGGTAGAATATTATTATATACTGAGAGGATTGAAGAGTAAACGCTTCGTATAATATGTAAGACCTGAGTATTGCAAAATATATACTTTAAAATCGTTGAACGAAACCGGCAAGTACAATTTAGTAATTCTACGAGTCCTAGTGTAAGTACACGTCATACGTCATTAAAAAAAAAAAGAAAATTAAAAACTTTCTGTTTTTATTTTGTAAAATGTCACAGATTGTATTTAACACAAATGTATAACAAATATTTATTTTAATTATTTATTAAGTACATAATTTAAATAAATTAATATCTAAAATATATTGAAATTCTACACCATATTTAACTAACTCTGAATGTAAATATTTACTTTAAATCTTACTTTAAAGTATTAAGCTTGAAATATTTTGGGTGATCTAACATTTTAATTATTGTTAACAAATAAAAAGTTGAAAAATAAATGTCTATTGTATTGGCACATATCACTTATTTGACCCTACGTTTTACATCTTGTTATTCTGATAACAAAAAGTTATTTTTCGAGAACATTATTAATATAGCAAAAAAATATGTCCCATAAAATTATTTAAATCAATAATTCTTGAACTAAAATATCCAGATTCTCTAAAATATTTTTTTTCGTAATATTACGCCAAGGCCCATTTTTTATTACTGCATAAGAATTACTACCTAAGTAACTAAGTTATATATATATAAATACAAGCAAGCCACTATTGATCATATCTAAGAAATAATTGAATATAGTTGCTATATCGGCTTTACCTTTTTATGAAAAAAAATTATTTTTTTTTTTTTTAAATCACAACACACAGTTGAATATTTAAGTATGCATATCTAAATATTGAATTATAAAACACATTTACACAACGTGTATTTATGAACGATATAATATTATTATAATTTACTATGTGGCAGACGAATTGCAGACAAAACGAATTGAAAATAAAACATGCATGCTCGGTGCAATATCTCTATTACACACATCTGAAAACAACTTTAACCGGAATCTACAATGGTATACGAACGGCTTTATACCTTTTATCGGACTAAGGAAAATTTACACATACCAACACGATTCGTAGACTATAATATTATGAATTATGTACTATGCACGCGCCAGTTAATGCTCAATAAATATCAGAGTTTGATTATATGTATACATAAAATCGAATTATATTTATAATAACTATATATAATAATATATAGTTATTATACATTTATTTATATATATTATCAATAGCGTATTTTCAAATTGTTTTTGGGGATCTTCAAATTTTTCTAAAAAATAAATCATTTTATAATACTACAAAAATATATAGGTATAAGGTTTGAATTAATAATTATATTATTATAAATATAAATTAAAAATTATTTATAATTGCATGAAATAAATTCATGTTCTCTTTCTTTCCTAATAACCTCCGTAGTTCAAAAATACGCCACTGTATATTATACATACATAGATAATTGTATGTTTGCAATCTGAACAGGTATACAAAATTATGTATACATTTAATAAATATGTACAAATTTCATATTTACCGCATATCATAAAACACAAAAACTTTGTCTATATTCGCAGTTAAAGTAATTGGAAGCTGATGGTCTGAATATGAATTATAAAGTATAATAATAATTTATTTTAACATAATTCGGCAAACATTGTTTTAATTCTACAGTTAAAATATTATTGAAATGTTCATCAATCTATAACAACCAAAACGAAATTGAACGATTTAACGACTTCCGAATTTGATTCATTCACAAACAGAACAACTAGAACAAGAACAAAACTGACCAGCTTTTTATATTATTGCAATCCGGATAGGTTCGTTTACAATTGTATCCTGTTTAATATGAACATCAGATGCCGACCACCAATCAATGGAATACTTCCGATTAGGGATCAACATTTCAAAAGAAAAAAAGGTTTTCCGAAAAAAAACTGGGTTTTTTATCAGAAAATTTGGGAAAATTGAGTTTCATTTAAAATTTCCAGAAAAAATGTTTTTTTTGGGGCAAAAATGGATTTTCAGAAAAAATTAGAAAATTCCTTTAAAAAAAAAAAAAATACTAGTATTTAAAATCAGTAATAAAACATAATAGGTAATATTATTTTTAGAACAAATATCCGTATTGACAGTATTAACTATTATTAGATAATTATACCGATAACCGATCGTACACCCAATTGATAATACCGCTGGGCCGATGAATACTGTTCAAAACGAATTTTTTTTATACATAGATAGTTTTAACTTTCAAGTGTACCTATAAATAAAAATTATATTAATTATATTTTGAAATTTTATTTTTTTCTTGTTTTTCGAAAACTTCAGATTTTTTCGGAAACGTATACTTGAATATTCTTCAATTTTTCTGTATTTTCTGGTGCTTTGGGTGAAAAACCTTTATTTTCCGAAATTTTCCTGAATTTTTTCGGAAATTTTCCGGCTTTTGATCACTAAAACGAAAGTATTGACCAACAGTAAAAAAAATAAGCGTAATATGTTGCCATATAATATCATAAATTTATATTTCATTCGTATGATTATAACTTATAGGTTGTAATAATAGTTATAATGTAACAATTTAATACGGCATAATCTAATGGCTCAAAGCATCAAAGTTCATTTCATAAATACGTGTTTTTAATTATTTAAAATAACAATTTTGATATATAAAATAACACCATGGCGATACTGCCAGCAGTTTACCTACCCATCACGTATTACGTATTACTTTCGGTTACCACCCCTTCATGCCACCGCACAGGTTCTCTATAATCAGTTCGATTACGTGATGCGCGAACTTTATCGGTAACAAAATAATCACACTCGTGAGATTATCATAAAGTAATTATTTTAATTACTTGTGATGCGGACTTTTTGAAAATCAATGAAACTATATTACAAAAAACTAATTTAATAAACTATATACACACTAATAAATTTTAATTCTATACATTACTCAAACCAAATAATAAACTATAATTGAAAAATTACGTATAATATGAGAAACAATTCAACGGTTCTCAAATCCATGTTTATTATAAAATTAGTAAATTGATGTTCATGGTACTTCATGTAATACGTATCTAAAGATTTTCCCAAAATATAATGATGATGGAACTTTTGAGGAATATTTAATTTTTTTATAATTTAACATATAATTATAATTAATGAAACTTATTACCCATCTCAATTTATATTTTGATTTTGTTGAAAAGTAGGCAATCGATATAATACATATCAGGCCCTATTATTTGTACAATTTCGGACTGCACACTTGATTTTACTGATTTAAATGAAAATTTAGTCTGGCTACTATTTTAAAATAAGAAATATATATATATATATATACATGCATTAAATTTAAAAAAAATTTAATAATACTCATATTTCCTAGTATTTGACTTATTATTTAATTTTGGTTTTGTAGGCCGCACACTTGTACATTCGTGGTGCACATTGTGTGTCGGGGTGCACATAGAAATAGGGCCTGATACATATCGATACATTATCGCGACGTTTACTATTTGAATGGACTGCAGTTAAACAATATGTATAGGTGTATAAGAATAACACTTATTTTTAATTTTTTTGTCCTTCGTCTTTTACTTCATCTAGGATTTTAAAAAAAAAAGATTTTAAAAAAATGTAATTTCAGAATGTGTTTCATGGGGAGAATAAGGTAAGGTTAAGTTAACTACATATTTCTTATGGGTTACAAATCCAAACCTCCCCTTAGTTTCCACTGAGGATATAACAGCATGTGACATAAGTATGATTAATTTTCTTTATATAACTACTGCACACATTTTGGGCACTATCTTGTAGCTAAGGCACTTGGAAATGGAGTGCAGAAATTATTTATGTCCCTTTCAAAATAGCCAACTAAATTATTTTGTTTAATGATTATATTCGCTTTATAATTCATACGGATGTTATAATCATAATTAATTTCAGTATATTTTAAAAGAAGTAAATAAATACTATATGAAATTACAACCGTGAGTAATTCCTATTTATTATAGAGTAAAATATTTCAAATATTTTTTAATACATTATCTTTAGTGTTTGAATTGTGGGTGAACGTGAAGGGACAGAGTACCACTACTATTTTAAATATACGATGAGATTATTTTTTTAATTGTATTACAATTATGTATGTATATAAAAAAACTTGTTATTTTAAATATAATTATTAGAGCAAAAATAATAGATATGAAGTTGATAATTCAATAAATGTATTAATAGAATATAAACAACCATCGTAACCGGGAACCCCACATAATGCCGAACGTCTATCCAGCTATACAAGTGGTTTCCAACCTGGTGATGGTGACAGATAAATCGGGGGTATCCAAAAATAAAGAACAAATGGTTATTCATATCAAAATGTATTACGAATGTACAATAATATATCGAGTATTATAATCTTATCCGACGACGAATTATTAACTATAAGCGATTGTGGCCACCCATCTTAATTGGATTGACATTTCATATTAAGTTATTTTTATACTCGTACAACAGTATACATGTATTTCATAGAGATGCAAATTCGGTAAATATCTACGCGTAAATTTACCAAGAATTTTTTTTTTTTTTCATTATTAGGGCGCGGATTTTTATGTAATTATTTACGTAATTACATAATTTTATTAAATGTGAATTTCTCAATTCCGATTAAAAATAAGCACGTTTCATAACATCCTGAATAATCTGAGAACATTTTTATTTTAGGTATTTTCATATATTTTGATGTATTTTTAAATATTTCACATTTTCATACCGTTTCAATACAGTTTTTATTTAATTTAGAATTATTATATTGGAATTAAATGAAAGAAGATATTTCAAATCTTGATTCAAATACTACAATCGCTATTATTCCTGATATTGTGTAAAATAATAACTTGTAAAATAATTTAGCATATATATACACGATTTTTTTTCTGGATAAAATAATAAAAAATTAGAAACATTAAATCTAACAATAATTGAGTGTCTCGCGATAGTGGAAAATGCAGTCAATGAAATTAAGTTCAAGGAGAATCCGGAGTTATAATAAAAATGTAACTATGTACTGGGTAATACGATGGTTTACAAAAATATTAAAACTATTAGAGATAATCTTATTAAAATAATAAAATTAAGAATAAATCAATGAAGAATAATTTTTTATTCAAATAATCAATCGAATAATATTTTATTCGACTAATGCCCAACTCTGGAAGTAACACCATCTGACATATGTGGTATGAAATATGCCCTATTAACCTCGGTCAACGTTGAATGCACCCTCAGCCATTACGAGTAGACTTTGAAATCTAAAGCTAAATCTAAATCTAAGCGCCGTACATTAAAATTTGAAAATTTTTAAATGTACGTCGTATCCAATTGTTTCGAAGAAGATAACAATGAATATGATTAAATTAATAATTAAAAATTAATGTAAAATACCAATTTTTTTTTGTTAAATATTTTACGTTTTTTTATACATATTTTAGCAAAAATAAGAACATAAATATTGACATATTTTTACCTTTTTATTACATAAAAATCTGCGTCATAGTTATTACTTTTTATTTTTATTATTAAATTATAGTTTTAACTATTTATAACTTGAGAAAAAGACAAATAAAACTAACATACTAGAATTTATTTTGTTATTGATGTTATAGATTAAATTTAACACGGTTTAATTTTTTGAAAATACACACGGTTAGTGTGAAAGCAGCACGATTTTGAAACGCTGACGTGGGCGTTTGAAGCGCCTAGTGTGTAATCCACACTGCAGTACTTATACATGCAGTAGGTTTATCTCAAAAGAAAGTCATGCCTATGGTTTTCAACGGTATAAATGCGTCTCTGAACGAACAAAAAGCCATTTAAAAATAATTTAAAACTTAGAACAACTATGTATTAAAAGTGCAGAAGACAATACAATAGAAACAACTTTGTATTGGCGATTGTAAAAAAGCTGATCTATATACCAATATTATAAAGAGGTAAAGTTTACGGAGTTTATAACTTTGTTTGTAGAAAGTTATCTCCGGAACTACGTACCTACTGAACCGATTTTAAAAATCCTTCCACCAGCAAAGAACTACTATGTTCACGAGCGACATATATTTGATATACATTTGATTGTGTCTAACAATATTTTTAAAGTCCGTATTTGTCAATTAACTCCGAGAAAAACGAGCGGACGCGTTGATGCGTTGGCGAGCACTAAATGTTCTCGCAAAAAGAGAAAGGAGCGTGTTTCCTGCGGACAGTCCATTCGGAACTCGAGAAAACCCAATACATCTCGCTACCGGTCGACGTAGTGTGATGTCGGACAAGCAGCCAACAAGAAACGTAATGAACGCGAGATAAATCCAATTAAACGGTCAGTACCAAGAACCGCCCAAGATGGTTTAATCGCGCGCAGACGTTCGACGCCATATTAGTTTTGCCTAAATAAATACTAATTAAATAAATGTACGTTTACTTCGCTCCGTTCCGGCCTTTTCGTGTCCGTTTTTTTTTTTTTTTCGCTACACGGAGGCTTGTTCCCTTAGTTCCGTTCCACGATTAGAATCGGCGACGAGGCGGCACCGGTAATTCTCGCGCCGCCGCGCCGAAAGTTGCAAACGCGACGTGACCAATGCGTTCGCGCGGTGATGCCGTCGCATCGGTGAATCGTTGACGCGCCGGCGATTGTGTTGGTCGCACTGGCGCGAAGACGTCAACCGCACAGTCGCCGCGACCGTTACCGAACTTTACGAGCCAACCAAACCGTACACTTGCACGTTCACCGGTTCGTTTTTCGCATCTTTTGTGCTACCCGTACGAGCCCGAATTTATTGTTCCGTTTCAACACGTCGCTGCATGTTCCCGCGATTCAACAATTTCGTACGTTCTTCCTTTCGGTCTTGCCATTATTATTGCTCGTATCTCCGTTGCTAACCGAGGACGTCACGCCGAACAATCGTCAACTCCGCGATCCGCAACTGTTCACGACCATCATCCCGTTGTTGTCCAGAGGTAAGCACACTCGTCCCGGCCGGACGCGTCGGTATGTTGTTACGTTCGTTTCGTATTCCAAATGCTTTGCGGTCGATCTGTTCATGATCACTTGTGTATTGTCCGTGAGCGACGTACGACCAATGCCCATTAATGAGGATGCAACGCTCCGGGATATAAGTGCAAATAGTCATTTGAACAGGGGGGGGGAGTAGAACAACATTTTTCATAATACCATGTACAAATTTATTATTACGTAACTTTTGTAATCTTTAGTTTTGAGGGTGGCAAAGCCCTACCATTATTTTCATCTATGAACATAGGTGATGATACTAGATTTTCTTAATTGCATAATATGTTCATCAAGATCGTATCAAAAACATTATCAAGTATTGAATAATGATTCAAGAAAAAAATAGTATTTTAAGATTCCTTGTTTAATTTTAATCATTGATTCATTGAATTGTATGCCAAATATTAACTTACGAATGCACTAGGTATGAATTTTTCTATTTTCTAGTTTCTCCTTAAGTTTCTCTCTGACCTCCCAAGATTTATATTAGGCACGTGGACACAAAACTATTTTTAACCAATTATTTGTCTACTGACTTATGATAGATCCATTCAGCATCATGGGACATTGGTATTGTACTCTATAGTTTGGGTTAGCACTGTATATTGAAAATTGAAATTCCTTTGATATTTCCATAGCCGGGTCCATTTGGAATTTAGAAAAATAATCCTTTATTTAATTTTTTAAATTTTTTTTTCTATTAAAATATCTAGAAGTACAGCATTTTTTTTTATGTACTATTTCCAGTTATTATCTAAAGTAGATTGTTTAATACATTAGTGCTTTTGAATTTTTGAATTTTGTAGGTAGGTAAATGCTTGTTTAAATTTAGTTATTACATATGGTATATTATATGTGGTGTGCTGGTAACAACATTTTTAAATTGGTTTGATGGAGCATTTGTAGATAAATAATATTCATTTCATTTCTAAAGATTTTTATTTTTACTATTCTTTATTATTTAGTTTGTCTTTAGTATAAAGTTATATTTATTTTATCTGTTACATTTATAACAGTTATTTGAAAATTAAATGGTATTAAACTAAGCCAGTAGTTACTACAATATGCCATTGGACTTAATTTCTATTTTATTTTGTTAATTTTCTAATTGTGTTCAAGACATTTAAATAGACTATAAAACTATATAGAAGAGTTTACCTAATTTGTTTTTATTTTGTTTAATTAAACTTCAAAACTCTCTTATTGAGCACATTCTAAGTAGAGAAAAAGACTTAAAGCTTTAAATAAATTAACAACATTGCACCAATACATGCAAAATATTTATCTTTTAGTTTAAAACATTCGCTGTATGTTATTTTATGCTTTTAAATAGCATATTTTGTTAATTGCCACAACATGGAACACCTTATAGCGATTATACTTAATATTAGATATTATTGAATGCTGATGTAACCTTCTTAATTGTATTTTATTATTAAAAGTTTTAAAGCCTTTAATAATATGTTATTGTTTTAGATGGCTGATTTTGATGAACATGGAAATTGGTTAACTGATGAAAACAATACTAGTAATATGAGCATGAATATAAAAAAACATATAAGACATGGACGCCATAGAGCAAAAAAATATAATTTTGTTGATGATCCTGTAAGTTATAAAAAAAATTTTGTAGTACTATGTTCATTGTAGGTAAATACTATGCATTGTATTAAACATAATAATTGTATTATAAACCATGTGACTATGTTTTGTTTTAAATCTAAACCTACTGTATATTGGGGATCTAAAACATATGTTGTAGGTTTCTATTATTTAGTTGATATTTATAGTTAATAAGTTATTTTTTATTTTTATTTATTTATTTATTTTTTCATTTTTTTTTATGCTTCTTTTAGTCTGACAAAATTGATCTAAATGTCCAAAAGTATAATGGTATAGATAATGTTCAAATTTTACTTAACTATATGGAAGAAATGAATTTAGGAAATGTTGAATTTAGTGTCTTTCAATGCAAATCAAAATCTACAAACCTACCAGCCTTTTATGCTAATATAAAGGTAATATAATATAATTCTTTAAGACAGGGGTTCCCAATCCATTAGTGGTACGTGGAAGACTCGTAGGTGGTTCGTGAAGAAATGTTTTAATATAATTATTTATATAACTCTTTGCATTCTATATTATTTAGTTTAGTTTATTTGATATTATCTAATTTTATAAATATCAATGACATTTGGTTGTTTGTAATCATATAAATTTATTTTTGTTATTATTTATTCAGCCTGATATTGATGTTCTTGTACAAAATAAATAACTACAAATTGAGATTTTTTTAATTTCATAAATTTCAAATAATAAAAAATGTTAATAAATTAATGAATAATAAAAATATACGTTAAAAAACGCGTATTGATAATAAAAGTGTCCGATGGTACTTGATGATAAAAATGTTGGGAACCCCTGTTTTAAGACATACTTTTAAACATGGCATTTAACTATTATTATATTCTTAAATGGTTTATACCTAGATTTAAGTATTATTACTTCTAATTACCTATACTTATTGTTATATAACAAAAATAGGAATAATAAGTTATTATTTTTATTCTTTAGATTTTATTTTTGAATCATTTTATAATTTAATTATAACTATAGTAAATTGTGTCATATAGTAATATTAATTATAACTATAATATATTTTTCAACTAAAGTTTTAAAATTCAGATAATGATAAAATTAAAAGAAGTTGGTCACTGGCTGTGCGAAAGTAAAAGTTCATATAATAATAATAATAATAATATTATATTTGCCCTTTTTTTTTTCTTTTTTTTTTTTTTTCATCTAAATAATTTCTTAAGAATAATTATATAAGTTTCTATAATTTAATAAAGTAATATAAAGATTCTAATTCTGACAAACCTAATTTTATGTATAACTTTAGTTTAGATTATTATTTCCATTTTCAGTTTAGCTTAGTGTTTTGTTTTAATTAACCTGTCATTGCTTACTTCATTTATATGTTTTAAAAAAAAAATTAAGTTATATTAAATATTATTAATTTATGTAATAAATTAAACCATAATTATTATTTGATAATTTAAATTAAATTTATTATTTTTTTTTTTTTTGCATATGACACTGACTTAGTCAAGTAATAGTTAATTATTAATGTGATATAAATTAGATAATGATAAATTAATATGAGACGATAAGAATAAATATATATATATATATATATATTAGATACATTTTAAATTATAATAACATAATAAACCTTTCACTTACAACAAACTCAATTCTTAAATTTGAATTTTATTATAATATTTACATATTATTACAAATATTAATTGATATATGTGTATTTTAGCTTGGTAATATATCTCTGGCAAGTTCTTTCCCAGAAAAATATTCACTACCTGAAGTAGCTAAACAGGTTGCTGCTCGTAATGCATTAACTATATTGAAGAAGAAATATTCCCATGGAAATGTACCTGTAACAGAAGATATAGCAGTTGTTGCTGAAAGATTGGAAAAGGTCTAATATTAATTTTAAACTTAATATTTTTAATTTTTTAACAAGGAGTTTTACAGGAGCTACTAAAAAATTATGCTGGTTTATTCTGTGATAAAGTAGAAGATATTTATAAACAAGCATATAATGAGAGTTTGCCTTCAGACTGGTTGATTAGTCTCAAACAATTGCCTACAAATATATTAATTGAAGAGCTACCCAATCAGAATAAATCTATTTTATATTATGCTTCTCTTGTGAGTTCTTCAGTAAAATAAAATAAAAAAAATTGATTTTATCACATCATTATATAGATAGTTATTTATACTTATATTGGTTTAGGCTGAAAAAGAAAAGTATGAAGAATTAATGGATACTACATCTATAGTCGAAACATGTGGAAATTTGCCGTTGATGAAGTTTGTAGATAAAACTGAGAGGAGTATTACTGTAATCAGTATTGATAGTAATCATACATTTTGGATTCTTTTTGTACATGATAGCATAAATGTATTTATAAATCATAATATTTATGTTTTAATCCTTCTGATATATTAAAGCATAAAATTGTATAGGATGAGTATGCCAATTTGTTTCAATTAATGAACATGCCAGATGAATCAAGAAATTTTATTAAAATGTTTAGTATTGAAATATTAGATATATATGCAGTTCAAATTGAAAACGAATGGCATAGGTTTCAAGTAATTAAAGTTGAAGATGATAATGTTACTGGTATTTTCATTGACTTGGGCATGGAGTGGTGTGTTACTAAAAGTGATGTAAAGTTTTTGTCTCCAAAGTTTCTGAATGTCCCTTCTCAAGTAAAATTATATTGTTAATAATTAATAACTTTTTACTTCAAATTAATGTGTTGCTAAAATATATTTTCAGGCAATTAAATGTAGTTTATCATCTTTATTTTTTGCTCCTTATTTTCAAGTAGCCAATAATTTATTTCAAAAAATGTTAATTGGTAAAGAATTTACTGTAGTACCAGATAATATTGAAAATGATGTTCAGTTGGTCACATTGTATAGTGGAAAATGTAATATGAATACAAAAATTTTGGAGGCTATCGTACAAGAAACTAATTTTAATAAAGTAATAAAACACTTTAATATTAATTTTAATTATTGCAATTATTTATCTGATCTTAAATTTATAAATATTGCCACTTAAATGGGTATAAAGGCCCAACGAGAGCCATGGGTGCACGGCCTGAATCTCAGAAAGTTTTTCATTCTTGACAATCAAAGATGATAAATCGCGTATCTAACTGTTGATGTGTCCACCCAATGGGCGAGAATAGTACTTAGGAATGCGAGGACGGCCCATGGCGTTGAGCTATTTACACCTTACCTTCGCCACTCAGCCACATTGGTGCGCAGTCGATTGCGCATTGGTTTTGAAGTGGCTGATATAGGAGTATTTTTGTGGTTAAAGGGAAGCTTACCTAGAGGGAAGTTGCCAAGTGATGGCCATGCACATGGTGTGGTAAAAATCATGCCTTGAATCATGGTATTTCCTTTAGCTCCATTTCAATCTACTGTTGTACTGCATTGGAGGTTGCCATTTACTCAAAAAGTGGTAGAGTATAGCTATGTATAGAGTATAGTCTGTGGTCCCACCAGGATGACAAAAGGTTTGTGCTGTGGCCCAAGTCACAATACGGGTATCATCTTTCTTAAGATCCTGGTGCTCGTCTACAGACTAAACCCAAGGGAGACTTTGTGCCATTTAAATATAATTTAGATACAGACAGAGGAATTATTAAATATGATAGATAGTTTTTTTTTTTTTTTTTTATCATTGGGAGCTCTAATATATATTTATATATAAAAAAAAAAAAAAAAAAACCCCTTTAGAATGGTTTTGCTTCTTTTTACTATTCTTTGTTGATATTATTTATAGTGTAATGAGTTAATTTCCCACTATTAATTGAATGTAAAATTAACTGTATGCGAATTAAGATAAGTGTATACATATGGTATTATTGTAATTTGAATGCTGTGTTATGTTTATTTCATTAATTTTAACAATTTTTTTTCTAAAATGTATTCAATATTTTTAGATTGATGAAACATGCAATCAAGCTACTATTTCTTATGTTGCTGATGGTTATCTTTATTTACACCCAATAAGTGAAACTTTGCTTATTATAGAATCTATTTTGGATACAATTTCATCTTCTCGACCTCTGCATCAATTGTATTCCAAAAAAAGTGTATCACCTCATAAAGTATATCTTGTTAAATGTACAGAACTTGATATTTGGAGTAGGGCTGTAATTGATGATTTTATAATTACTGGTCAAAAAGTTAGTAACAGTTGATCATGATATTTTTGTTAATTAATTTATGATAATATTGGTTTTGTATAATTAGTTTAAAGTATACTTCATTGATTATGGTAACTATGGTTACATCGATCAAGATAAATTTATTGACCTCCAGTCACTTGACGAATTGTTGTCAAAAATTGGTCCTCAGGTAACTAGCTGATTCCTAAATTATTAAAAAGGAATTATTAATTTTTAAAATATAAATAACTGAGAAATTTTCTTTTCATCTAAGAAGTCAAATTCTAAAATTGTAAAGCGTTTTACTTTTTCATACTTAAATTTTATTAAAACACTGAGAGTTTTAATATTTTTGTATATTTAGTATTTTTATATACTTTTATTACTTATTTTTAATACTTTTTTATAATTATTTTCTATATTATAGGCTTTGAAAGTATCATTCCATTTATTTCCCCCGGAAAAGCTCACGGAGAGTTTGAGTAAGGCATTATATGAAATGACTATGGAAAAATGTTTGGACGTTAAAGTTGTATCAACTGATGTTGATGGAACTCCAGTAGTTGAATTATTTGATGCTGATGATCAAACAGGAAATAGTGCATCTTTTAACATTCAGTTACATCAAAGGTGAATATTTATTTTATGGTAATTGTAAAGTACTTATAGTTTTATATTACATGACATTTTTTTTTATCTGCTATAATAAAACCAGTTTTAATAATAATTTTTTTTATCGCAGGACTTCTAATGTTAAGTTCTATTAAAAATTAGTAAAATTTAAAATTGTTGTGCATATATATATATGGTTGGATGCAATATTTTTTTTTTTATATATGTTCTTGGTACTTATAAAAACAATACGGGAAAGTCACAAAAATTATATAAAATCATTATGAAATTTTTTTAACAAAATCTTATTTAACAATTCCCATTAAATAAAAATGTATCAAATAAAATAAAGGCAAATGAAGTTTAGCTCCCTAGCTATTTTTAGCAATTTTTTTCAATTTGTGGGTATAATAATAAAATGGTTCTTTCAAATAAGGTCTGACCGAAGTTCTTTTAGAAGTTATGGTCAAAAAACTTCAAAGTGCTATAAATTAATTAAATATTTTTTTTTCAAAATTTAATTTTTTTGAGTTCGATATTTTAATAAAATAAAATCACAAATGTTCCATCATACTTTTTATGGTATAAACCTATCTTTACCAAAAGTTGATTCTTATAGCAAATCAAAAGTTGTTATTGATAGTTTCTTTGCCTCTAAAGTATATTTTATTTGTAATATTTCGTAACTATGAAATTGTCTTTTATAAATAACTTGTATATAAATAAATAGTTTATACAAAGAAAAAAAAAATGAATAAATGCTAAGCCTGAATCATTATTATATGACGTGATTACAAATTAAAAGTTATAGGTATGCATCAAGTCAAAAAATCTTGACCTATTTATAGTTTATGAATTTTAAATTTGAAAACTGTAGTAAATTACAAATATAATAATAACCTAGGCTAAGCATTTATTTTTTATTTTTTCTATGTATAAATTATTTATTTATATAGGTAAAAGTTATTTATAAATCACAATTTCATTTTTGTGAAATATTACAAATGAAATATATTCTAGAGGTTAAGAAACTATCAATAACAACTCTTGATTTGCTATTAAAAACATTGTTATTTATAAAGTATTTATGTAAGAGACAATTTCATAGTTACGAAATATTTTAATAAAATTTATGTTTATATGTATACATTCATTTAAAATTATTATATATACTGTTATTATTGAGTATCATGTATGATTTAAATTTATTGGTTAACATGGTAAACATTTTTTATTAATTATATTTGTGTTTTTACAATTAAAGGTGCATTTTATTAACAATTTTTATTTTCAGTGTTTGATGATGGTCCTTATATATTTTATTCTAAAGATGAAGAATGAACTTGCGTCCAAAGTATTTATTCTACATTATAAAATATTATTAATTGTTTGACATTTATTCAAATTTTTATCAGCTAAATATTTCGATATTTAATTAAGTTTTGATATTTTTTTTGTTATTATATTTTTTTTCCTTTGTAATACAGAATATTATAACATACAAACAGAACATGTTTATTATTAAATTTTTATTAAAAAAAGACACCTACAAGTTCTAAATTATGACTGTACAATACTTAAAATTAAATGTTTTGTAATATAATTTATTTAAAATGAGAGATGCTTCTACATGTTATTGATTCCATACTCGTTTGTTATTTAAATTATATATATAATGTAATGTAGTTGACACATAATATTCAGATTTTAAAAGACTTATCAAACAAAATTATAAGTAGAGAAGATGAAACTAATAAAGAATGCATTGAGTAGAAGCAATTACTACTGCTAATAGAAACGACCATATGTTTGGAGTAGTATTGGTCGTAATAGAAAAGCGTCTAAATGAAAGTATTGAAGTGTATTGAGGTTGGGCCTGGAATTTTTTGCTATGACTGAAAAATAATGACTTGTTTTGAGTAAGGGAGGAGAAAAACGTCGTAAAGGTTTTTGGTTTAAATCTATTCGTTTCGTTGAAGACAACGAATCCTACTACTCACGTACACGGAGGATTTACCCGACTCGTTTAAAGGCTAATATCTCGTTAAATGAATTTCGCCGACACCGTAACTACTAGTATTCTTCGTCCGCTATCAGTATTTAATTAAACGAGTATTTATATATATATATATATATGTGTGTGCGTGTGTGTGTGTGTGTACGTGTACGTATGTGCTATTGGATTATCTTTGAAACACTGCAAAATGGCTGAGGTTTTGTGTGGTGTTTGCGGTGACTTTATTGCGGGAAAAGAAAAGAGAATCCTTCACATTTATGATGTAGTTTAGTCGAAAATGATGGTCGCAGCGGACATTATCGTTCACTGGTCTCTGCTTTATGTGATTTTTCTTTTTCCCACCATCGTCTTGTCTCCGGTACACACGTATAGATAACCGGCGCGCAGTTTAATATGCGCCCGTGAAGTAAATCACAAAAACACGGAATTCTTACACGCTCGTGATGAGCACAACACGAAGCGACCGAATTCTGAACTCCGAAACCGAATGTCGTAAATTTGCTAGTTCTCAAAAGACCCAAACTAGTTGCATAAGAACTACTGGCTTTTAACGGGGTACAAATCAAACGTTCGAACGCGTATATGGTATCCACCACTAACCTGGTCGACCGGTTCCCCCTTAAGGTGATGCGAATGTAAGACAAAAGTTCGCAAAGTTGTCAACGCCGCCGACACCATTGACACGGGTCGCCCGTCGCGTATTAGTTCTCTCTCAGAACGTTCGGACTGCGCAGCTTTTTCCATTGTGTGCGCCATTTTTTTTTTTTTTTTTTGTAAATGACCGTTTCGAGTGTCAATGACTTGTTTCGACGAACGATTTAGTTTGGTGTACCGGTTTTTCGCGTCATTCTCGATACGCACGTTTTATGATTCGTCTCTTCGATTAGCACGAGTGACACTATTGTCGGCCAACCGCAAATCTTGAAAACCGCGCGATTTCGAGTGCCCGCGGTCATCGCCACACCAATAATAGCGTGCGTTGCAAACTCGCCCAAACTATCGGACGATCTGTGTTCGCGTGTCCGAAAGAAATATTTGCATGTCGCCGCGATCCGTTGATTCGAGCCGCCGCCATTCTCGCGTCGTTTGCCGTATACGCCCTAGACGTGTGTTTGTCACTAGGCGCGAAGGACTCAGTTCAGCTGAATTCTTCTGTAAAACCAGTCGTCGTCGTGTTGCATTCGCAGTCGTCGTGGTCAGCGGTAAGTCTAGTCTTATATCTTTGTACGAATCAGGGGGTATGCAGGGTATACAACTGCAAAGTATAGAGCCTTCTTTCCAAACTTACATAAAACGAATAAAAATTATGACATGTTTGGTCTTATGCATATTATGCGATTTTGTATTACATTACGATTTTTATTAAATTTTTATATTCAGTCTCGAACAGTTTAATTTATTTTTGAACGACAAATCATATGCTATAATAACGATTTAATGTGTTAATGAAATTAAGAAATACAATAGTTCAAGCGATAACTATCAACTACAGAACAATAAATGGCTATAAATCAAAATCCCGAAAACATTATTGGTGATATTAAAAACTCAACTGTACGAAGAATCTTTTTACGATTAATTTTAATTATTTATTAAATTTGTTTTGTTTTCTGTTTAAGTATATAATTACGTTTTTATTTATTTACCCTATTTAAACGTATTACTCAAACCATTTCAAGTGTTTTGTATTCAATTTTTTTTTTTCGTAATTTATTTTAAATTTTAATTATTAAAACAATTAAGAAATGGCAATTCAGTCTTTTTTCGGGGGAAAAAAAAAATAAAATTTTAAATTAAATAGGTAAATTATTAAGATCAGAATTTTGAACGCTTAAATTAACTTTCAGTTTTAGGGATGGTAGGCAGTGGCAGCCTTTTGCATACCCTGAAATAGAGGTCTGCGCACGCCTATGGTACGAATTATATAAGTTTTCTATTTATGGACGGAAAATTTGTGTGCTAGATGCATTATTATTATGTATTTCGTATTTAGAGCGCCCGTCTGTTGATTATTATTAATCATTATTATTTATTGTATTTGTCATTATATTTATTTTTTCATCATAACTGTGTACGCATAGCGCTATAAATTGTCTTTATAATATTGCGACACCGATCGGTGGTTAATACCTCCAACACCTCGCAAGTCGTGGTCTGCAACCGCCGTCCTCGTGGAAGCGGTCGTGGCGCAACACCAAACATATTGATGTTAAAAATATTAAGTACGTTAACTGTTTAACCAGTTCAATAACATCAACGTTCGTCCAAAACGTAGATTTATAAAACATCTAAAATTACGTAAATAGCTCGATCAAGTGGGCGCTACACGTACGGGTTGCTGCGTGATTGAGGTTGAAAGATTTTAAGGAATGTATGTTACCCGGATAAAAACAATCGACTCGTACCGCCGCATCGAATGCGCTCGATGGGCATTCATTAACACAACAGTTATAAATACTAATGCTACCACAGTTCATAAATTATATTATCTGAACGCTCGGTACAACGCATAGGTCATATGTGGGGTACCCAGTGCCGCAGCTACAAAATACGAGGCCCGTGTGCGGTAATTATATTGGGCCCCTTCCTAGGATTTATTTTTGTTCGATTTAAGTATCAATTTTTTTAGGTTTTAAAACACGTTTTACATCAGTCGGTGTTAGACACAATATATAATTTATTAATATTTATTGATGTATATATATATATATCAAACTAAATACCTATAACTGTTGTACTTCACTACATGTTTACGTAGTAAATTTATTTGAGTAGCTTAGGCAGGTATGTTGTATGCCTACTCATATACTCAATGGACTCATTGTTAAATAAATATTAGATTATTCTAAAATGTTATAGGAACCTTACCTGAATTTTAAAAAAAAATTTTCATTTCATTATTAAATAATTGTGTGTTTGTAAAATGTAGTAGTATTACAGGGCGGGACTAGGCCCCCTCCACAAATTTATGTAAGCCTCGGGGCCCGTGTGCGTGGCACACTGTGCACACCCGGTTTTCGCGGTACTAGTGATACCTATAATGGACGGAATTGGTTGTATTTTTTTCACAAATTAAGATTTTTAAATGTTTAAAAAAAAAAAAAAAGATACAAGCGTGCTCACAAGTGATCTTTGGTGGTCAACAACCTTATGAACATAATCAAGGAAATGGTGGATAGCAAAAAATTATTTGTATTTTAAGAAAGTACCGTTGAATATTTATCTATCTGCTTTGGTAATAGGAGCTAAAACCCCCTAGTTTTTCTTCGTCCGGAACCGTCACCGAGCGCGTCCCCTCGCGAGCCCCCGCAGTCACGCAACGTTGCGCGCGTTGTGATAACAATATTTTTCCGGGCGTACCCTTATCGCTGCACGACGCAAGGGGGCGAACGCGTTACACACAACCACGTCGCGTACCAGTGCCGGTGCGTCACGAAAACGCGTTGCGGGGTAGGTACAAAGCGTACGCGCGCAGTGGCGTATTTGAGGGGGGGACGATGGGGGCAATCCCCCCCCCAAGAATTTTTAGACCAAGACAATTTTTATGTAAGTAATGGGTATTTTATTAAGAAACAAAAATTATGATTTATTTTATAGTATTACTACATTTGAAAACATTTCAAATTTTACACTAATTTAAATAACGCAAAACGCTAAATTTTTCATAACGTTTTAACTGTCAATAATGGTAAACGAAAATGTTTTTAAAGGTTTAAATTTGTATAACGTTTAAACGCTTAAATTGAATAACGTTTAAATTATTTATAGTGTTAAACGCTCAATTGCTTATAATGTTTATATGTCCCATAACGATAAATAATATATATTATTTTGATTGACCATACTTGGTGAAAAATTAGATGAAACATAAGTGAAAATTTCAAAAAAAAGATTGGTGTTAAAAAAGAACTACACAATAGACCATTTTAAGTGGATCCGGCATTAGATTAAAAAAAAAAAAAACTACAAATATTAAGGATTCACCTGATATAAACACTACCAACAGTTTTACTTGTAAATGTTGAGCCTGAATTAAAGAAAAAATTTAAGTCGCCTCCCCCTTAGAAGTAAGTCTAAATACGCCCCTGTACGCGCGTCTATACGTGTACGAACATAAACGTGTTTGATATCGCGAATAAATGTATACGCATAAACGTGTTCCGGCCACCAACCCCCGTTCTTGGCTTAAGCCGATTCCGAACGTTGCATGCAAATGATCGGGATTAAAATTCAAACCCCGGCCCCGGGGGCCGTTTCGGTTCGGACTCACCGCCAAGTCGCGCCCGACTCGATTCCCGGCCGAGCACAACCCCGACCCGCACCTAACCGCCGCCGACACCGAAATCGACGCGGGAACGAAAGATTCGCAGCAAAGCCGTTTGCGTCGCGCCGACGGGGGTCGGT